ACATAATATTTAATTATTAAATATTTTGTCACAACTTTAAGTGTGCCTTTGCTTCATATAATAATATATCGAAATATAAAAAAAAATCTATACGTTACTAATACATGTATAGAATATAGTGGTTACACTATTTTTGTATACTGTACTGTGCCCTCTTGACTTTTTTCTTGCTGTGGGTATATCATATCGCTCACCTCCTGAAGTGACATCGTGTTAGTAGATAACTCACTCCATAAACCACGAAAACATATTTCTTATCACTTCAGTTAACATAACACTTGTCATATTTAACACAAATAACGTATAACCTTCGAAATGTCCATTCAAATATAACTTATCGTTTAAAAAAGTAAAGTTATATATTGTTTTTCCACATTAATTTCTGTCCTGGCACAACGTTTAGCGGAACAATAAAAAAAAAACTTGAGGGTATCTGTGCACGTTCGTACAGAGTACAATAAAGTTATTAAATAACAGACCGAGCTTCCAAATTCAATTCGACTGTATGCGGAATTCAAATTTTCAAATTTGGAACAGTTTATAATCAAGTCATGGTCACGTTCCAAGGTCACGGCATTGTATGCAGTTCCAGGCGTTATCAATGATCAAAGAAAATTATGCATACTGCTAAGAATTTACTTGCATACTATTTAACTGATGTCACATGTTATTGCGACCTTGGATTTTGGATCTGAGTTTTCGAATGCACTTTCGCGCGCATTTTTGAGTTATTTTTTTTAATTAATTATATGGTAGTTTTATTTTTCTCGTTGTAATAATAATTATATTCGATATTGATTTTTTCGAGTTTGTTCGTTTGGTATATCGCGTTTTGTTCGCCGTCAGACGTCCTCGCCGTAGGACGTCCGCGGAACAACTGCTAATACTATTAGTTCGCGTGCGTTATCAAATACGTTATCACTTCATTACGCTGAGCGATTCTGTTTGCATTTTTCATTAATTTGCGAACTTATCAATTGTTTTAATATAGAAATTTATACTTTTTTAAATTTCAGCTATATGTTATTCTGACGTGTAAGCTATATTACTGTAATGTTTCATGAAAATCCGTTCAGTAGATTTTGCGTGAAAGAGTAACAAACATACATCCATACTTACAAACTTTCGCGTTTATAATAAAAATATAAATAAGATGTGTATATTCATTCTTCATACAAATTTTAAATTACGTAATATATATTAATAACACAATATATGAGGTATCTAGTTTCGGTTTGATTTGTATTCGATTTTTATATATGTACTGATAAAAAAGTATTTATGTATTTTTTTCGGACTACTCTAAGGCTGTTGGCCGCAGCTGGCCTTTACAGCTTCACCGGACTATAGGGGGCGAGTGCAGATGGCACGGAAGGACTTATGGAGCGGTTGGCCAACTCCCGCCTGACGGGTACGACTTTAGTCTGAGGGCACCGTTAAAGGTTCGAACCTCGGCTCAGGCCGTCGTAATATAGATCCACGTTTGAACTGCACGGGGGATCAATGTCAGTTAGTACTCATAGTAAAACCCTGTGTTGGTCTAGATGGCGCTGTTAACTGTCCTGGGTAATTATTATTATAATTTCTGACCATGTTATGTTGCGAAAACGCCTGCTAAATGACTCAGCTCACAGTCAGGGATGTCCACCGTACGAGTATCCCAATCCAAATACAAGATTATTGACCTTCTGAGAGCATCGTAGAAGTCGTGTGCGAGATTTTGTCATATGTAAATAATAATAATAATCTCAGGACAATTCACACAGCGCCATCTAGATCCAAGTTAAGCTAGCTAAATGTAATATGGATACTAGACAACTGATACAAATACATAGATATCTATTTTTTGTAAATACATATCTATTATACATAGAAAACATCCAGACCGATACAAACAATCATACTCATGAGTACAAATTTTTGCGAGCGAGGAATCGAACCTGCGACCATTGGACGTAAAGCGGTGTGCTAGACCGCTAGACCAACGAGGTCGTCAAATGGGTCAAAATATGATGATGATGAGGTTAAAAAGCCTAATTGATCTATACATATTAATAAAATTGGAGTGTCTGTTTGTAATATTGAAATAACCGTTTTTTACTACATGCATATGAATATAAATACGGTACATACACCAAAATAATATTTTTTACAATTTTTGTCTGTCTGTTTATTCCGGCTAATCTCTGAAATGGCTGGACCGATTTTCACGGGACTTTTATTGGCAGGTAGCTGATGTAATAAGGAGTAACTTAGGCTACTTTTATTTTAGAAAAATAAAGTTAAATTCCACGCGGACGAAGTCGCGGGTGCAGCTACTACATAATATAAATAGAAAACACTCAGACAAACAATCATACTGTAGAATGCAAATGTTAATACATATAAACTTGTTGGCAATTAGCTGTAAGTTTATATTGTATTAACAGAAGAAATAAATACTAGATTTTGTACATCTTCGTATGAACCTAAACGTTTTAACTGGCAACCCTGTTCATATTATAACCGTTGTTATTTAGTTTAAAGTAAACAGTAATGGCGGGAAAGTACGGTCATTGTACTTGACTGCGATGGTTAGCTGTTATGATAATTAGTTAGACATGACCACAGACTGAAGGCAAACAAATATCATAGTTTCACGGTAATGACAGCTGAATGGTCTAGCGGTATAGCACACCGTTTTACTTCTGATGGTCGCGGATTCGATTCTAGGAATCACGATAAGAACATTTGTATTCCTAAATTTTGGTATTTGTATTGGCCTAGGTAGAATAGAATTCAAAATTCTTTATTCTTAATTAGCTACTCGCCCCGGCTTCGCCCGGGTGTACATCTATACATATAAATAAAATTGGAGTGTCTGTTTGTAATTGAAATAACCGTTTTTGACTACATGCATATGAATATAAATACGGTACATACACCAAAATAAAATTGTTTACAATTTTTGTCTGTTTGTTCCGGCTAATCTCTGAAATGGCTGGGCCAATTTTGACGGGACTTTTTTTGGCAGGTAGCTGATGTAATAAGGAGTAACTTAGGCTACATTTCTTTTAGAAAAATTCTTTTATGTTAGAGAAATAAAGTTAAATTCCACGCGGACTAAGTCGCAAGAACAGCTTGTCTATAATATATTCTAAGTTTGGCTAAGTCTAAGTCAGTAAGCAACAGACATTTAGACATTTCCTTTTTAAGACAATCAACTTATTTCGTATTAAGGATCGTCGATCGAGGACACAACATAAAAATGGCGGCGGTCAGACGCATCGTGACTCACACACTTCTTGCTTTAAATTCATATAACGTCCAAAATACACATCTTCATGATTCAGTACTTGAATTGAGAGTTTATACAAATACTCATACGTGATGCAAAAGCTTTATTTTTACGAATATTGCGGGATATGAAATGAAATTTCGCAGTCATCTTATTAATATTATAAACGCGATAGTTTGTGAGTATGGGTGGATGTCAATATGTTACACTTTCAAGCAAAAACTACTAAACTGATTTTTAACTTTGCATATCAAAATAACATATAGACTAGAATTTAAAAGAATAGTATATAAATTGGAAGAAATATAATGACAAATGTCAAGTAAGTGAGATGCAGACGAAGTTTCGTGGGTCAGCTAGTAAAAAATAAGATTGTTTTCTATCGTAAACTATAGCAGTGCCTAAATTATGAGTATAACCACTTTTGCTATTATTTTATTGCAGGCGTTCTACGTTTATGAACGAACAAAATTGGTTCAGTAGCTTTTGCGTGAAAGAGGTTATAGTAGGAGATAAGTATAAGTATACAATCCGCCTGGTACGTAGAAGTATCATGTTAGTTAGTCTACAAACACTTACATTCAGAAATTTTTCCTCGTACATATCTAAAGAAACTCTCTCTCTTGAATAACCCGGCGATGAAAATATACTATTCATTTTATATAATGCTTTCAGCTTAAGAGGTCTATTAAACTCGACAGGTTATTCAAAACAAATCCTACTGCAGATACTCCTTCTATAGGTAAATGCCGTAGAAATTACACAAGAGGTAGGGACCTCCTTGGATAGTCTTATGCTACTATATACTGTTTTTACACGATACGTTATTTCAGGAGTTCAGGTGCGCGCGTAAAATTGTGGTATTTATTTTGATATTTTATGAGTTCTCTCTTTCGCGCTCGATTCAATAAGTTTCATGTCATTTCACTTTCTCTTGTTATTTTATTTTCCATAGGCACGTTTAAGAATTATAAATTAATCAATAACTTGTTAGGGTTCGCATGGATATTTTCGAAAAATCTGATATTTTATATTAAAAGAAGGTAGTTTCATTATTACTCGGTATCGTTAAACTAGTTGCATATAACCCCCACTCATATCTTCTCTGTATAAAAGGGAGGGTTTTTGTAAGCCGCGGTATTCGGTCTTTGAGCACAGGATGTGCTGGTTGTATTTTAATTGCTAAAGTGAATTGTGTTAGAGACATAGTTAAATTAATGTTATATAGTTGTTATTTTATTATAATACATACTTTTACTAGTACATAGAGTTGATATATCTAACAAACTGTATAATTATATCTTTGCTATACACTCCGACGGCCGCCATTTTGCAATGATAATTAATTTTATTACTATATAAATGCAGTAAAGCACGCACAATTAATGAACGCGGGAAAGCCCGAGATGACGTTGCGCGGGGTATTTCTAGTTCAAAATTTTTAAGAACAATAATTTTTAGACAACATGGTCCATTTTGTTAGTAACAATTTAACGAATTACCTCTCTTAGAAAGGGACAGTCTATTTTACAAGTAATTGCCTTCAGGACACTGTTAGAACGTATTCTTACACTCTCTCAGTTACACTCTGCCTAATAAGGACATTATTCGGTTCCGCCATTTAGCATAGAAGTCGGTGCGTTTTCTCGACGAAACATTTGTATGCTCATTTTTTCCCGCGTGAAATGACAAACGTGTAAAGCCGCTTAGGTCTACCACATACCTGTGCGGTTGCTGGAGCGTCGTCAGGTCGCAACGAGTGCAGCTGGCCTTCGATATAGTCTGCAAACGTGCGCACAGCGGCCGCTGCATCTCGGTACCGCTTCCAAAGCTCAACAGCACGGTGATATCTATGTAAAAAGCCGTTAGTTAGCAATTTTATAGGCACAAGTGATGGATACAATTATAACAATCTTGTCCTTTAAAGTATTCCTTGGGAAATATTCAATGTAATATAGAATATAAGAAAATATTAATAATGGCTACCCGGCCCGGTTACGCACGGATGTTCATGTTTTATAAATATAAATCTTTTTTTTCGGACTACTTTCATGCATGTTGGCCGCAGCTGGCGTTTATAACTTCACCGGATGATAGTGGGCGAGTGCAGAATGCACTCCAGACCCGCGAAAGCATTTATAGAGCAGCTGAAGGCCAACTCCCGCCCAACGTGTACGACTTTAGTCTGAGGCACCGCTAGGGGCTCGAACCCCAGTTCAGGCGGTCGTAATTTCGATGCCCATTTGAATTGGACGGGGGGATCGATCTGAGCGGATAAACCTTCCTGTTCAATAACTTGAGGATAGTGTGTATATGTACACACTATCCTCAAGTTAACATAATACATGTACACACGTGCGAAGCCGGGACGTGTAGATAGTAAAATATATATTCTTACTTGTCGCAAAGTTGGGTGAGATTGCTGCATGTGTGGTCGTAGGCAGCGGCTGCCTCGTCCAGCTCCCTTCGTAGTTGTACCACTACAGCCGGATCTGTGGACGCTTCCAGTGGTGCTGCAGCGTCTCGCAGCTGTCCAACCAATTCACCACTGCGGCGTGTGAGGGATTCGCTCAATGTCTGCAAAATACAGTATTATGATGTATTATATGTCCGATAGTCGCAGTTTCGATTTCTCGCACGGTAAATTTGTATTTGTGAGTATGATTGTTTATATCAATCTGGGTGTATTCTACGTATATTATGTATGTATTTCTAAAAAAAAATAATTCATATCAGTTGTTTAGTACCTATAATGCAAGCTATTAGCTTGAGACTAGATGGCGCTGTGTGAATTATCCAGGGATAGTATAGGGATAATATAGGGATAGTATTTGTGCTGGCTTGCGTTCCCTATTCCCAAATATCCTAATTTCAAACTAGCGGTGTCATCTATGCACCGATACAAGAAACTTTTTATCCCTCATCGACTCACAGCAGTTCTACACGTCACAGGCGCTTTTAATACGCAACAAAACTCCTTTGCGTCGACATGCGGTAGTGGCGGCAGTGTTTCAATTCAAATGACAATGTACTAATTTAAATAGCTAATAACAGTTTGTGCTCGGCTAGCCCTTAGGCTGTCAAAAGTGTAGTCAAGCTTTGGAAGACAAGCTTCTGCGTCAGTTCCAGTGAAATCAAGCCTTCAAGAGATCGCCCCAGCCATCAACTGTGAGTCTTTCCTTATTTTTACCTTATGCAAGCTAGCCATTGTACGCATCCCTACTTAACCTCATCTTTCAAAACTGAGCTATCTTCTTTTTATCCCCCCTGGTCGGGTTCCAGGTTCTCAACGGAGGCAATCCATTCCAGGCCCGACAAATATTATTACCTATTTTTGTTACTAAGCTATTTTCAATGTGTTCTGATTTAACAATGAGAAATAGCAGTATTATTAGAGAGTAAAAAGGCACAATACCTTCGTATTGCATGAGAGTTATCAACGTCAGATTATTGATAGCTGCCACTTCTCATCAGGTAGCAGTCAGTTTGTTTGAAATTGTATTTACATAGAAATACTGTATCCTAACAAATTTTATTACCTCAAGTTTTTCAGTAGCTTTCAGCAAACGGTCGTAGTCCACTTGCCCTTGGACTGTGAGTAACTCGACCATATAATCGGCTTCTCTTACTGCTCCCTGCACCAACTCTAGTTGTCGTTCGAATCTCTTCCACAGCTGGACTTTAGAGCGAAGTCTTGCGCTGAGATCATTGCAAGCTACTTCCAATGTTGCGTGAGTTTCCTATACAAAATAATAAGACACATATTAATATTAAATAAAAAGGTTCAGTAATCTAAATTATGTAACAAAAGTCTTAGTTACCTGTAGAGCTGAGATGTCTCTCTCAAGACCTGTAGGTGATACACAGACACGTAAACTAATTGGTAGCGTGTGTAGAGCCTGTCTTAATGCTAAAATATCTCTCCATTGAGATGCCAAATCTTCTAGAAGCCTTTCACAATTATCAGAAGCTCGCTCTACAACATCACTGCCTAGACGCTCGGCAGCTTCACATTCTTCTAAAGTGAGCCTTGCCCGGCGTTGACTCTTTTGACATCGGATTATACCAGCTTGAACTTGTACAATTTTTTCTTTCAATAATAAGCCCCGTTCTAGTTCTTCAGATATTTGATCATCTAGGTTTCCAGACTGAGTTAGAAGTGCACCTAGACGTTCAGATTCTGCTGTAGGAAGTAAGCTAAGCCTGCCAAGTTCATTTTGTATTCTATCTATACGACCAGTCATCACTTGTAATCTTTCAATATATAAGTTAAGTTCGTCTTCACTTTTTATGACTCCTTTAAGATTGTCTAAAGATGATCGTAGTTCTTTTATTTCTTCTTCCAATATATTTAACTTTTCGCCAGATGTGACATCGCGATCGGATATATTCTGAATAGCTGATACATGTATGTCATTAATCTTTTCAGCTAAATCACGCCATTTATCTTCAATTTTAGAGAAAAACTGACGTTGTACCATTTCGTCAGATATAGGAAGAATTTCAAGAGCCTTTTCAAACTGAATTCCAGATTCATTTCTTAAATTATTATGTACTTCATGTTGTGCCTTTAGTTCCCAGAAACGACGGAGGTTACCTGTAGTTGTAATATTTTCTGGCGTAATATTTTCCATTTCTCTATTAGTGATTCTTATCCAACTTTCTATTCTGTCTATAAGATGGTCATACATAATCCAATTTTCTTTAAATGCTGTTAGTCTTGTTAATCTTGAGTCTACATCCTCCTGCAATTTGAGTAAAGTGTCTAATGCCATGGAACATTCAGTTTCCAGTCCAGAACACACAATTAAGTTTTGAAGGCCTTGAGTAATAGACATTAAACGTAGCATCTTTGCGTAGTGATGCGATATATCCAAACTTAATGATTGGTATAAATTAATGTATTGTTCATGGTCCATAGATGTTACATTAGTCAGATCAGGTACCCTCTGCTGAGCGACTACGAGCCACTGTTTTTCAGCTTTCATTCCTTGCTCTAGCATTGTCCATTTAGAAGCAGCTAAAGTCATCTGCTGTGCTCTGCTTGCGGCTCTGTCAATAATTACGGTCGCTCTGTCATGTAGTGAATTATGTAGTGATGCGTATTTTGATCTCGTTTCACTGTCTAAATTATCTTCTAGTGATTCAAGTATGGCTCTGCAATGACTTAAATTAACAAAGAACTTTCTGTGTTTTTGAATTTCCTCGTGTAAATGATCTAAATTTGACACTATGATTTTACCATCTAGGAGAGCTTCAGCAACATCTGTAATCTGACCAAAATCTTGTAAAGTTTGTTCGTACTCTTCAGCCAAAGATGTTAATTGTAAAAGACGGTCTCTTTCCGTATTGATGACGTTTTCCACTTGCTTTGTATCTTCGTCACAGCCATAAAGTATAGAAGGACATTCCCGTTTAGAGTTTGCCTCTGAAAGTGTACGATAACGTATAAATAGTTTCTTAACATTATCTGAATTATCAGCATTGTTTATTTCAATTTTATCCAGTTTGTCTAGTTTTTGTTGTGTTGGAAGGTCTGAAATAATAATGTTGTCAAGATTTAATTTCAAATTTTGCACCGTCTTATAGAGTTTATCAGTTTCGTTTAAGAATTTCTCCCACTCCTCTTCATTTTCTTGTACTCTATTAGATTTATCCTTGTTTAATGAAGTAACAGCATTAACTTGATATGTTAGTGTTTCAATTAAAGTAATAATTTCTTCATTTACATCGGTTATTTCAATTATTTCTTTTAAACTTTGAATATAGGATTGTAATGACTGCAAACGATCGTTCTGTTGCGTTTCTTTAATGCCAGTTACAGTTTCTCTTTGTATCATATAATGAATTTCTTCTAACCAAGTAGATATTGTCTCGATGATTATAATGGTACTTCTCTCAGTTTGATTTCGATCATTATTTTCTATAGCATTCCTCACTTCATCGATTTCTTTATTGACAATAATATCATAAGAATTTTCAACTGTTGGTTCATATAATACTAAAGCCATTGAATCCACTGGTTGTTTATGGGAATCAACAATAGATTGCGTACGTTTTTGTAGAGTATCAAGCAACTTGATTTTTTCCGTTTTATGTGGAATTATACTTTTAGTTGGCGATGGTGATTTAGACTTAGAGCGTTGAACTACATCAGAATACGTAAGTTTTGGCTGTGTAGTAATATCTTGCTGTTTAGATAATACTGGACTAACACCTTGATAAATACCTTCATCTATTGACGATATATCTTTACTAGATAGATCTTCACTTGTTGGTGTTACAGACATGGAAAGTTCTGTGGTGATAGGATCTGATAAACTCTCAGGAGAATGTAAAGTAGGCGAGTCGCCTTTCTTTTTATGTTTTTTCTTTTTATGCTTATGTTTTTCACCAGATATGGCTTGTGGTCTATCCTGAGTTTCACGTTCATTTTTAATAAAATCAGTAACTGATTGTGGTATAGATATTTGAGCACGTAAGTGTACTTCATATGGCTCGTCTGTCGATGTTGAAATTGAAGTTTCAGAATAGTCTCTTGGGGAAGTCTGTTGAATTGTATCTATCGTCACAATATCTGTTTTGGGTAATTCAGGAATAAGTGTAGAAGGTTCAAGTGATGTTTTTACGAGCTCTTTTACTGGAGAAGTTTGTTGAGTGTTGTCACTTGTAATAACTTCACTTGGAGTTATTGTAATACCTTCTTGGGCTTGAATTTCAAGAAGCTTCTCAGGACTTGGGGATGTTTGCTGAGTACTATCAACTGTTTCTACTGCTTTTATAGTTTCAAGTTGAGGTAATTGTTCTCTTGGAGATGTCTGTTGAATAGTATCAACAACAGTAACATCTTTTATAGATAAACTGTCTATAGGTTCTGGTGTATCTGATTGTGTGTATGAGCTAATAAGAGGAACTTCTGGAGTCTGAATGCTCACTTCTGTAACTTCTGTTTCCTTTACAGGTGTTGTAGACGTTTCCTGATCAACTACATCATATTTTACAGTTTGAATATCAGTGTCACTTGTTTCTATAATAATTTCAGTGCTTTTCTCTTCCTTTATTATCTCAGTTGCTGGAGATGTTTGCATTTCTTTAGACTCCGTTTCAACTATAGGTTTCTCGTCTTGTTTCTGCTCTTCAATTAGTGGCGATGTTTGCGAAAACTTCTCTTCTGGTGCACTAATATCGTAAGAAAGAACTTGAGTTGTAGCCTCAGACTGTACTATTGCTTCTGGAGTTTCTGTTCTACTTGTTTGTATTTCAGAATCTAACATAGGCACTTTCTCAATGCTAATAATTTCTTCGACTGTTTGAGTATGGGCCTCTTTATCCTCGATAGGAGTTGTCTGTACCAGCGATTCACTTCTTGGTGTTGGCGATGTTTGCGATACAATATCTACTGTTTCAGGTTTTGAAATTTCCACCTCTTCCTTCGTAGAATCTTGTTCAATAGAAACTTCCGGTGATGTTTGAACAGAATACTCTTGTGTTAATACCTCTTCAACAACTGAAATAGGATATGTAATAGTTGTAGGGACTTCTTTATTTAATGTTTCAGGACTACTTTGTACGCATTCTTCTACTATTTTTACTGTATTACTTTCAGATACTTCACTCATCGTATGGTAAGATTCTTCTCTTGGTGATGTTTCTACCATTTCACTTCCTATTATTGGTGTTATTTCCGGTGTAATTTCAGATTTTTCCGTTTCAGGTTCAATTTTCTTCTTACTCTTTTTTCTCTTATCTCTAGACTTATATTCTGGCTGATTAATATCTGTTGGAGTAGTTACTGAAGTTTCGTCTGAATCAGTTGTACTTGCTTTTGGATAAGTCGTATCCTCACTCACTCCATATTGCTTCCGTTTCTTTTGTTTTTTCTTTTTTTCATGTACAATAGTAGGGTCTACCGAAACATCTTCGGGTTCATAGCCTTTTTCTTCTGGTATAAGTTCAGATTCTATACTTAATGAATCTTGTTCGGGAGTTGGATCTAAAACTTCTGCAGTAGGTTTTGGAGATTCAGCAGGTGGTGAAGTTGGAAGTTCTATATAGTGACTTAAAGATGTGCTTTCGCTATCAGTAACGCTTTTATCAGTTTCTGTGTCAACTTCTTTTTCATCATCTCCTAAACCTTGCTTACGTTTTTTCCTTTTTTTACTTCGTTTATGATCCTTTAATGATTCTTCAGGGGAAATTTTACTACAAAGTTGTTCGTCCCTTTTAACAACATCTATTACAGGTATAGGTACATGTTCTTCAGTTATTTTTAATTCTACAGGTAAGTTTACATTAATGTCTTTTTTAACAACTGTAGGATCAGATTTAAAATCTTCGACTTTGATGTCGAATTGAACTTTAGGTTTAGATTTTTTGGGTATATTTTTAGCTATAGACATGGATATATCAACAGTTTGACTTAATTTATTAGGATCTGATATTATATCCTCAGTCATTTTAGATTCTTCTGGTAAAGGTATTTTAGCTTTAACTCCACGCAAATTAGTGTCTTGACGTTCTGATTCAAGAAGCAAGTTAATGTTATTTTTAGTATCTGGTATACTGGATATAGCTGTATCTATTGATTCAAGAATTTCAGATGGCATCGTTTCTTGTTCATTGCGTGGTAAAGGTTCAAGAGGTTCTTGAATTTTCTCAGACGATGATGATTCCACCAACTTATTCGCTGTATCTTCAAATTGATGAATATAAGAATATTGAGGTATTCCCGGTAAGGAAGAAGCAACCGTTTCTGTGACTACGTTTCCTGTTACCAAAGTCTCTACTTCTACAGAAATATGCAATGGTGCTGTTTCTACCTTAATTTCGCCAATACTTTTATCTACTTTTGATGGGACAGTATCAATAGGCTTTTGAGCACTCAATGTGGAACCGACAGGTTTTTCTTTCAATTCGTCGCTGGTAATTTTTTTGGTAATATCTACACTTTCTTTTTGTGTATCGACTTCTCGTATTTCACTGTCATCTTTTGATTCAATTTCCTGTAAAGATGGTTCATCTATTTTCTGAACTGACACTGTGTCTTCTTCAATTGAAACTTTAGGTTTTTGTAGATAAATATTATCGTGTGGTATTTCTACAAAAGTTTCTGAGTATGTTTCTTTACATTCTTCTTGAGGAGCTATATGTTTTTGTAAGTCAGTAGCTGCATATTTGTTTCCTGTATCTATGCAAGTAAGAGTTTCTGAAGAAAGTTCGTCTGCAGGTTCTTTATGTAATATAATATTTGTGGGCAGATTTGATGTCTTATCATACGTATTATCTAAAATGGTATCAGTACTGGTATGCATTTTTTCTTTTTCTATTAATTCTTTTGTTGGTAAAAGTTTATCAACTGGTAATTTTGTTGTATCTTCTTGTAACTGTTCTATTTCTTTGAGCGTAATATTTTTATCAGAAGTTTCTTTAGAAGGAATATTTTCACTTTGTTGTTCATGTTTTTCTGTGGTTATTATTGGTAAATCACTTTCTTTAAGTTCCTTTGCTGTATTCTTCAAGGAAACAGAATCCAAATTACCAATATCAGTTACCTTTAAAGGAGCGTCTTCCAAACTTTCTATAATATCAGTACTTTCTGTTGCTGTTACAGGTTCTATCGTTTTAAGAACAGTTGATGGACTTTCTTCAATTTGTTCAGATATTATATTTTGAGCAGTTATTGTAGGTAAAATTTCTATACATGGTTCTGTAGATGTAACTAAAGGAGTCGAGTAATACATTTCACTTTCGATCAAAGATTTAGTAAGGTTTATTACAGATACATCTTTTTCATTATTTGAATGAGAAACTGTTACCGTTGATTGCGAAACATTTTCTGTGGGAATGGCTTTATTTATGTCCGATACATTATCTGATTTTAGATCTCCCAATACAGGTTTTTTAGAATCTATTCTTGTTTCACGATCCTCATCCGTCTCCTTGAAAATTTGTTTATCTTTTTCGGTATTAGTTGACTCTATTTCACTATCAATCAAAGTTTTCGTAACATATATTTTGTCGTCATGAGATGAAATTGATTTAATTGGCTCATTATTCAAATTTTCTTGTACTTTTTCACTTACTAAATTATCATCTTTCGTTATCATTGAAGTGATTGGTTTAGATATCTCATCTATTACTTCTAGTGTTCTATCATTCAGGAATTCTTGATTTGATTTTGGTACATCAATATTTTGTATACATTTGTCTTTTACCATGGAAGTTGGTTTATTTATAGTTACATCAATTTCAGCAGTAACTGTAGATTCAGGGACAAAATCTTCATCAGGCTCTTCTACAATTTGTTCCGTTATATGTTCTTTACCGTCGATTATTTGAACTTGTCGTATAATTTTTACACGTTTTGTTTTCACACCTTCAGTTTGTATGTCATGAGTAATTTTTGGCTCCTCTTCTATAATTTCTACATCATCAGGTTCGTCTATGATTTCTTCAGTGACATGTTCCTTGCCATCAATTATCTGTATGTGTTTAATTATACGTCTTTTTGTTCTGGTAATTTTTCTGGTTATTTTTTGCACAACAGTTGCAACATTTGAAGATAATTCTGTAGAAGAATATTCAGTATCTCCCGTTATTAAAAGAGTTTCGGGTTCGATTGGTTCTTGAACATCGTATGACTGTTGTGATTGTTTTTCATTTGACGATGATTCTACTATGGTAACTGCTTCTATGGGACTCGTTTCCCGTGCTTTGCTTTTATCTATATCTGCAGCATTAAAACTTGTAGTTGGGCTGTCACTGCCTGTTTTTGATTCATGATCTTTTGGTAATTTATGATCTTTATACAAATTGGATGGATCTGTGGGATATTGACTGTTGTCTTTATTATCGTCTTTATCATCTTTATCATTATTATCATCTACTTCTTCAAATTGCACACTGCCGTGATCTTTTACGCTAATAGCTACCCTAGGTATTTGTTCTTCAAAAATTTCAACATTGTCGGGTTCTTCAATTACTTCTTCGGTAACGTGTTCTTTGCCGTCTATTATAACAACTCTACGTATAATGCGACGTCTAGTCTTAATTATTCTTTTAGTGACTTGTTGAACTACAGCTGTAACACTAGATGATGAAGTTTGAATATGGGGCTGAATTTCGCCCTCCGCTATTTGCAGAATTTCTTCTGGCTTCATTCCTTGTTCCATTTTTACTACTATGTCAGGCTTTGATGTAAATTCCTGTATTGTAACCTCACCTCCTGGTAGACTAGATAATACTTGACCTCCATACGTTTGATACTGAATATGTTGGATTCCACCGTCGTCTAGTGCAGTGGATGTAGATCCTTTATCTTCATGTAAAGTAATCTGTGAAAACGATTGATCTTCTGGAATATTCTCTCTTGAAAGTATTTGTAATCTTTGTTGCTGAGTCTGTAAAGTTTGTTGCCTAGTCACTAACGTCTTTCTGATTTTCTTCACAATTATCCTCTTTGTACCGTCGGCATCTACTACCACTTCGGTAGTTGTTTCATCTGGCTCTACCATCACAGTTTCGAATGACTGTGGTAGACTATGTATTACATTTAGTTGGGTGTCTTTAACTAAACTATTGTCTACGTAGTTAGCGTCTACAATTAATGACTGTTCATCAGTTTTATGTTCTCTTAAGATTGGTCGACTTGCGATTTCAATAGTTTCATGATTGTCTGATATAATTTGTCGCACTTGAATATTTTCAAGTAATTCTTTTTCTTGAGAAAGTGGTTCACTTGTCTGAACTTCAACTTCTTGTGGAGGAGCACAAGTAATTGAAATATCTTGGGTAGATTTTATTTCTGGCTGACATAGAATAGATTTGTCAGAAACAGACACACTATCAGACATTAAACTTTTACCAGTTTGTGTATCTGCTGTTGCAGTTACTTTTACTTTCTGTATTTCAACATCTTTAACAGATTCACGTTCAGGAGAAATTTCGCTTTCTCTCGGTGAAACCACTTCTTCTGGCATTGATGTTGAATCAATAGTCCTATCAGTTTGTGATATATCATCCTCGATTAACTCAGGCTCGGGTACAGACCGAATATGCAGTAATACCTGCTTTAATCGTTCTATCTCCATAGTGACTAGATTTTTTGTATCAGCTAATGTATTTTGCGTAACATTTAATTTTTCTCTCAATACTTGACTAGATTCATCTTGACTAATGACATTGATTGATTTCAATATAATTTCATATTCTTCGTAATCTCTGATATATCGTTCATATATTTCAATATATTTAATTAGATCTTCTTCCGTCAGTACGTCATACTGTTTATTAGATTCCTTTAGTTCCGTATTTATACCTTCAAGCCAGTTATCTAGTTTGGAAATCTTTTCTCTTGCCTCTTCAATATCTTTCGCTTGCCGTGCCATTTCTAATTTTGCGTCCTGAAAAATTTTATGTTTGTAAAGTACTTTTTTATATTTAAACAGAAATAAAATTAAAGACCGAAAGATTTATAGATAAATAAAAATTGGATTATACCTTTCTTACCTGGATGACGTCTAGCCCCTGTCGAGCCTGTGTTAGAAGTTTTGAAATTCTAGCTTTAATAATTATCAATTCTTTTAATAGAGTTTGGACTTCTTGTTCCTGGCGATACTCCATGATCTTGGATTCTAGCATTTCAGCTGCTTCTTCGCATTTGACTAAAACTTCGATGCCCTCCTATAAAATACATTATTAAACAGGTTATTTTCGGAATTTACTATGATCATGGCTTGTATTTGAGTATTTGTATCAGTACAATAGTATTCTATTTGTATCCACAGTACAAGCTTTGCTTTGGTTAGGACTAGATGACGATGTGTGAGTTACTTTGTGTTATAATTATTATTTTAAAAGATTTTTCCTATTCCTTTATTTTGTATTAAAGAAGCTAATACTCTGGGTACACGGCTCAGCAAAATGTGGGAGAGGTTAATGAATGTGAGGATGTAATTATTAATAAAATCAGCACTTTCCAGTAATAGAGTCTCTATTAAGTGTTGTGGCTTTTTGCAAAATATTTTTGAGTGTTTTGGGTACAATACCTGTAGAAGAAAGCACAGTAGGGACAATATAATAATTGCTTTTGTTTGTCCTTTTTTAAATAATATACTTTTTAAGTAATATTAAAAACATTTACACAGTAAGTAACATAACACAGTGAAATTAATACATAGAATTTCTTAGTGACTATGAATAATTGAAAGTTTGGATTGACACAAAGTGTGAAATATGTTTATCTCCTTTTTGTTATATTTTGATGATATAATGAATAAAGAAATGTTTATATATTGAATATATTTGTAAAAAATATATATTATTAAAAAAATATATTTTATATTGAGGCGTCTAACCAAGAATGCTTTATAAACTCTCTCATAAAACTGAGCAAACAAATCAAATCAAAGTATTCATGTAGGTTGACATATCATAAGGTCTATTACAGACTCTTATGATATGTCAAATATATCGAACAGTTTGTTTACCACGATATTGGTAAATAAAAGTACAGAGCCCATAATAGATCAAACAGTAGACAAAACTCCCTCCGATCGATGGACAGGGGTCCAATTTTAACGAGGATCGAAATTACCACGGCCTGAGCCCAGGTTCGAAACCCTAGCGGTGCCCTCAGACTAAAGTCGTATCCGTCAGGCGGAAGTTGTCCTCCAGCCGCTCCATAAGTCCTTCCGCGGTACAACTGCAACTGCACTCGCCCAATATCGTCCCGTAAAGCTGTAAAGGCCAGCTGTGGTCATAAGCATTAGCGAAATCCGAGAAAAGAAGAAACTAAAAAAACAAATGTCTAGACTGGACACTAGTCCAGCACTAATACAACAAAATTAGGATAAATTATAACGTTACAATTATTTCAAAAAAATTATGAAGTTTTTATTATTTTCAACACCTGAAACCTGACAGAAATATACACGCACTTTTTTGTATCAGTCAGATCAAACTCACGACCTTTTTCTTCGGTTGAAATTGGGGTAGTATTATAGTTTGGTACTTTATTTTGTAGTAAGAATACTTCATTACATTGTTGCGTAGTTTTAAAGATTTAAGCATATGTATAGGGACAGAGAGCGGCAGCGACGTTATTTTATACTATGTGATGATGTACACCCGTGCGAAGCCGGGTCAAGTAGCTAGTTAGAAATAAATACATTCCTACCTCCAAAAACTAAGAAGTTATCCGTTTTGTAGTATAGCATCCGAAATTATCCATATAATACAATAGTCACGATTCAGAATGAGTTAAGAGTTATTTATATTTTACAAATCTTGAATAACTATGACGTAACTTATTTATAGTAGTTTTGTCGCGTCCTACATTCTATTTATATTTTAATTTGCACCTATTATTGGATTATAATAATATTACTAATCCAGGACAATTCACGCAGCGCCATCTAAGCACAAGCTAAGCAGAGCTTGAGTTATGGGTACTAGACAGTTGATATAAATATTTAAATAATTTATTTTTATAAATATTTATATTATACATATAGAAATAACCGTACATTCAAATACAGTCAGGTATTTAAAGTACATAATCCATAAATAATGTTTATTTCCTTGTAATGACCTTTTTTGTGTCAACAATTCAGATATCAAAGGTGTGACTGGAGTGGGGAAATAATAACTATTATTAAATAACTGAATACAATTATTATATTAATAATATTATAAACGCGAAATTTTTGAGAATGGTTAGATGTTTGTTACTCTTTCACGCAAAAACTACTGAACAGATTTTGTTGAAACTATCCAATAATATAGCTTATGCATTAGAATAACGCACAGGCTATACTTTAAAAATATATCAGGTAAATTGGGCGAAATAAATGTCCAGTAAGTATGAAACAGACGAAGTTGCGAGGGTGAGCTATTGTATTCTATATCATATCAACTGAATAATTGTATTCTATATGTATAATTCCCAAGAGGGCTCGCAAAGAAGTAGTAGATATAATAAAAGAAGTACAAGAACAAGGGAAAAATTGAGTATCCTAGAGACTGAAAGAGAAAGAGGGGTAGGCAGATGATGAAATGGGGAAGATGAGTTGAAATCAACTGTTGGGACAACCAATGGACGTCGCTGGAGGTGTATGCCAAAAGGCACAGTGAAATTAGAGATTTATCGTAAAAGTAATCGTAATAGTCGTATTTAATCGTAAAATCGTATCGTATAATCGTAATAATCCTAAAGTTAAAATAAATCGTAAATTTCAGAATAAAGGGCTTTGTTATAAAAAGTACGGTGGACAAGCTGCCAGCAACAATAGGTACAATTTGAGAAATAATTATACTGTTAAGAACTTTCATGTAGATTTTTTTCATTAAACATTCACAATAAAGTACCACCACAACTGATCTGCATGGGGTATCAAGTATTGCGTTCATCACGACATCAATAGTTGATACCTCTGTAGACACAGGCAGACTTAATTTCACGGGTTATATTTGAACAGTGACAGTGAACCGATGTCTCTCGGATTAATATGGTTTGTTATCTGTGTTTTCATCACCAGAGAGTGAATCAGATTCTTTTTGTATCGATCAGATATGATCATTTCGGGTCGAATTCGGATACCACAAGGCAACGTTACTATATTGATATTGGCAGTGATCTCACTAAATAGTTGAGACATGTGTCATTGAAACACAGTGTTAGAATTATGTACTCCACATGTCCTTTAGTTATGTGTTGTATAACTTTTTTCGGACTAATCTAATGCTGTTGGCCGCAGCTGGCTTGCAGCTTCACCGGTCGATAGGAGGCGAGTGCAGATGGTACTACGAACTCGCGGAAGGACTTATGGATCGGCTGAAGGCCAACTCCTGCCAGACAGATACGACTTTAGTCTGAGGGCACCGCTAGGGGTTTGAATTTTGTTGACGTTGTATAACTATTGTACAATATTGAAAAATGTAAACATATTTATATGATTACTCAATTTTTAAAGAAAACTTAGTGCACAGTTCCATAATCCGGTTTGTTCTTCATTACACAAGAGGTCATTGTTTACTCTTAATATTTTTTGTGTTGCTTGAGTATATATGTATGTAGTTTTTATATTGTTTCAACATGATTGTTTTTATGGTTACTGCACGATATTAATTTTATATATAAAACTCGTGTCACAGTTTTCGTTCCCATACTCCTCCGAAACGGCTTGACCGATTCTTATGAAATTTTGTGAGCGTATTGAGTAGGTCTGAGAATCGGCCAACATCTATTTTTCATTCCCCTAAATGTTAGGGGTAGTCAACCCCAAAATTTATTTTTTTAATTTTTTAGACAAAATTTTTAGTTTCTATTTTTTTATGATACAACATACAAAAGTACATACAATCTTAAATTTTCACCCTTCTATCATCAACCCCTATTTTTTTATAGCGTTATTAATTTATATGGCAAAACAACGTTTGCCGGGACAGCTAGCTGTATATAGTATTATAGAAAAGTATAGTTCTGTTATCTATATATTTATCAATTCAAGTCTTTACACTAAGAGCTTCAAGAGATACCTCTTTATCCTCAACTTAAAATTAAAATCATTTATTCAGATTGTGCCTTTCGGCCTTTTGTGTATATATTTTTTATACCTATCCCTACCATCCTGTGTATCCTTTTTAATAAGGCGTCTTTAAATTCAAATTCAAAATCAAAAATCATTTATTAACGTAGGACATTTTAGCCGCTTATGAACGTAAATTTTTTCTACATTATATTAATTTTCATTTTTACCCTACCTGATAAAGGTAATTATATAAGTATTTATATAATTATATTATACATTTCGCTTCTCTTTTCTTTAAATGTATATTGTAAATAGAACTATTTTACTAATATTATAAACGATATAGTTTGTGAGTATGCATAGATGAATAAAAGAATGTTTGTTACTCTTTCAAGCAAAAATTACTGAATGGATTTTTAATGTAATATACATATACAGCGAGTAGGGTGAAATGGCGACCTTTTTACGGATGACATCTGCCTCTCACTCTACTACATAATGACCACGACCGTTCTGACAAAAGCGAATCGAATAAGAAGAAGAATACATATAGTAATATAGCTTATACATCTAACACATAAGCTATATAAAAATATATTATGTAAATTGGGAGAAAAGTAAATATGATAAATGACAAGAAGTGTTATGCAGACGAAGTTGTGCGGGTCAGCTAGTAAATATTACATATTTTATATACTAGTAATTAGAATTAAATTTTTCGAAGTACATAAACTTCATTGAAATAATAATATTGGTTATGCAATGTTTATATTTGGTATGTAAACATAAAATGTATGATGCATAAATTAAAAAATACACTTAATTTACCTTACAATCCAAAATAGGTCTTATTTAAAATCCTCACAAGGCACATTTTTGGAACGATTTTTTAATATAACATATATTAACACGTTTCGATTCGCACGTTCAGCTCGTAGCAGAATAGTAGAAAGATTACCGCTTGCGGTCGATTTCGTACTACTGCCCTACTGGTGATGCCAAACACTACGTTTATTATTAACTCCATGGCGTAATGCTTATATTATGCTTAGATGACATCATGAGTGGTCAAAAGTTATGTGAACAAACGCATTGCCAAGGTCAGAGAAAATAAATAACCATTTGGCATTATCTATACATATAAATAAAATTATTTAAAGGAGCAACACGAAAGTTTCTTGCTCGTTCTTCTTATGACGAGCCTCACTAAGAAGAACGAAGAAGAAAGAATGAGCGGTAGATTAGAAAAAATAAGTATGTCTATTCAAAAGTACTTTAAGTAGTAGTTCAAGTTTAAGTTTTCCAAAACTTATAACTCCTATACTAATATATAATCTATACATATAAATAAAAATTGAGTGTCTGTTTGTAATATTGAAATAATTGTTTTTTACTACATGTTTATGAATATAAATACGGTACATATACCAAAAAAACATTTTTTGCAATTTTTGTCGGTCTGTCTGTATGTCTGTTTGTTCCTGCTAATCTCTGAAATGGCTGATATAATCAAGTATATAAAAATCTCGTGACACAATGTTTATTATCGAACTATTCAGATACTAGATTTTTTAAAGTATTGTAATCTGAGCATAGGTCGTAGGCTATTTCTCGAGGGCCTCTGGGGTATAGCGGTTTAGCACATCGCTTTACTTCTAATGGTCGCAGATTCGATTCGTGGCACGGCACAAATGAGTATTACTCTTTTTATCGGTCTGGGTGTATTTATGTATTTATAATAACAATATTTATATCAGTTGTCTAGTACCCATAACACAAGCTCTGTTTAGCGTGGTACTAGATGACGCTGTGTGAATTGTTTAGGGTTATTATTATGATATTTTATGAAAACATAATATCTAAGTACTTATATCAGTTTTCTAGTACCCATAACACAAGCTTTGTTTAGCTTGGGACTAGATGGCGCTGTATGAATTGTCTAGGGTTATTATTATTATTATTATAAGGGTCCTATCTAAGAATAATTTGTACACCAAAACGTTTGCCGGATCAGCTGGTATTTTTTATAAAATGCGTGTAAAACACCTACAAATGTTTGATCTGTTCCAGGAATAGTTAATTCTAGTTTTGTTTACATCGAGGCTCCGTAACACTGATTGCGATATATTTGCTTCAAACATTTGGTATATTTTCAATGAACATTAGTATTGCATTTTAGTTTTTGCATTCATGCGCGTGCAAATATTTACATTGTCAATTCTACTTACCCTAAGACCATCTTCCATAGCGTGTAGACTCTCATCTGGCAAATCGGACAGTCTTGTTTGTATAGTTTTCACTTCCTCGAGAAGACTCTCAATATCATTAGACAATTCATCCTGAGAACACACGAAATTATTAGCAATTCACTAATTTACCACACAAACTTGCTAACGTGGAATTGAAATAAAAAATTGCTCTTTCAAAGACACTTAATAGCAATAAATTTTCATTAAAACATCAAATGAATCTGTAATAATTGTCTTTCTGGACAAATTTGCAAGACACGCTGTAAAATGCGACGGTCCAATTTTATAAATAGTTATTTTTCAAATAAAAGAAAAATTTACTCCAGAAATAGTAATACTTAATACAGTGATAGAATTATTTAAATTCCACGTTCACAGTCAAGAAAAGTCTGGACTCCATGGCAGCATGCCAAATGCAGTCTTGTTAGCTATTGGAACAACAACAACAACATCAAAAACTGGCAGTCTTTTTAGTTAATATCCATCTTTGGCATGACATGCTTACATCTGATAGAAATTAAGTCTATTCTCATACTTGGGGGTTTACTGGGAACTATTTTACAGTCAGTCTCATTCACGGGACATTCCCATGCTTGTTGAAAAAAATATATAACTTCAACACAGTATATAAATCTAAGTAATCCATAGGAAACGCGAAAAACTGATCGTTGCGTTTACCGAAATGCATAATCATTTCCGTAGTTATCTGCCAATTTATTTTTGTTTACTTTAAATAGAATTAATTGTAATTTTGTTAGGTTATGTCAATTTGCGGGTGTAAAAGCATGTGATATACATACTGACAAGCTCAGTTCCTATGATAGAAAACAGCGTTTTTTATTTTTGCTTTACTATGTTGAACTTATTTGTTTTCATTTAGTAAAAATAAAATATCAAATCTAAAATAAGATGCAGATTAATATCAAAATAATAAAAGAGCAATCGGATGAATACAGCAAAATATGAAATTACAAAATTAACATTTTAATTATGTATTCATCTATTTAGTGTTGCTAGCAATAACTATCTACAAAGTAAACACTATATGTAATAACAAGACTGACCTGAAAAATATATATTGAAATGTAGCGCTTTCTGAGAATTCAAGTCCATCACGATTGGATTGGATTTCTTTAAATATTATACCCCATTATAGTCATATATATCTAAAAATACTAATATTAAGCACTTTACTGTCGATCGTCTTATAGTAGCCCATTGTTGTCATTGCATTTGTACACCGGGGGAATAATCTACCTTAATATAGTATAATATAACGTACACTTTACTTTAAATAAAACAAGGTCCGTAAATGTATTTAATTTATTAGTTCACAAATTCAGATCATTAAAATTTAAATTAAATAATGAATTGTAAGATACTTATCGATCTGACTAGAAAAGACTAGATAGAGTTAAAACACACTACATCGAATTAATAAAATAGTATCATAATATTCAAATGCGTAATTAACAACTACGAAATACACAGTGCATGCCAATAATTGGCACTACAAGACGAACGGCTCATTTGGCGCTGCTATACAACACTTTACGATACATAGCCTTGTAATCAGTGAAATTAAAAATTTAGTAATAAGATCATGCCAAACATAAAAGTTTAAATGTAAAATTATACAATACGACTGGGAGTCAGTCACCTTGCTTGTCCTTTGGTGTGTTTCTCCGTCCGCCGGTTCCTGTGGAGGTGGGGATGGGGCAACTGGTTCTAGGGTTGAGGTTGTTAGTATATCCTCTAGAATGTCTGTCCCTATCCTTGGCGTATCCTCACTGACAAGACCCGTTGACGATTCAGTCGGAGTCTCTAAACTTAAGTAAGAACTATTATCTTTCCAACTACATATACCACCGGGTAAATCCATGGATATGTAATTGGAGTCAAAAGGTGAATCACAAGAATCTTTCTGCTCCTCAGATTCGGAGGAGTGGCCTGAACCGCCGCTCGGGTCTTTGTCTCTATCATCACGGTCAATTATTTCAACTACGTTCTTAGTTGCAGGAGTTTTTGGTTTGCTAGCCATTAGAAGAAAATGTCGATATTCCGCATCATGATACAAATGTTTATCACACCAAAATGTAGTATCATTTTTAAGATTTTCCTTTAAATTTAAAGCAGCCGTTTGAGTTTCAATTTCGATTACGGAATCGAAATTTTGTTGCGTTACAGGAGGAAGATTTTGTTCTGATTTTTGTTCATGCAATAACCGTTCCGCGTCATGTATAGCGTATTTTTCCGTCCAATATTTTTCTTGTGAAAGACATGGTAAATTAGTAGATGGTAGAATATTAGTAGTTAAAATAGATGACGATTCCGAGGTCTTATTAATAGGGCTAGTTTCAACAATATGAACTGTGTCTACATTTTCTTCTTTCAATACTTCAGGAACTATATACTCATCTTTAATAGTTAACTCAGTCAAATTTTCAGATTTTCCAGAGAATGAGATTGATTCACACTCTGAATCTGCAAGCAATGAATCTATCATATGTTCACTAATATGTTTTTCCTGTAAGTTCTCATATGATGACTTATTGTCTTCAGTAAGTACTGATGTGTTAATAGTTTTGCTATCATCTGACAGCAATTTTTGTTGAGATATTATGTCCACCTCGGGGTTTACAGTAGTCAATGCTAGTAAATAATTTTGAGTTTCTGCGGATGTTTCAATAATGTTGTCTGGACTTGTAGATAACTCATTGTCAATTAAGGAAGAATCTTTTTCAGGAAGAAGTCTTTCTTCTATTTCTCTTTGTAAGTCAGCCATTTTATTTTCAAGCGACTGCTCTTCCGTTATTATATGTTCTTTAATTGCATCTTTTTCTATTTCCATTTCTTCTGTTTCGACATATTTTTCTGTACTGTAACTATCATTTTCCTTGAACTGGAAAGGTTCTTTAATTGATTCAATGACTTCTATATTTATTACCTCCGACAAATCACTTAAATCTTCTACGCCACTAGGGTCATGTTTCCAGTATTGTGCATCTGAATAAACTCTATCTTTAACTGGTGTTTGTAAACATTCAGGCGTTGATGGAGCAGTCTTAATTAAATTGGGTTCTTTTGTAATTTCGGGTTCCGAAACAATAACATGCTCTAATTGTACAATTGGAGGAGTAGATAGTTCAATTACTGGGTTATGAATTTCACTAACGTAAGAACTGTCAGTTGAAGAAATAGATGGCTTAGGTACTTCAGGATGAGAACTGCTGGTAAACTGAACATCAATTTTCTTTTCCTCGATTATTTTAGCATCAGTGATACTACTAGAAGATTTCGTTAATTCTGTAGATGATAAAGGTAAAGACTTAAAATTATCATGATCAGGGGTATCAGTGATTTGAACGGAACTTGCGGTGGTATCAAGCAAGTCAATTTCAGACTTATGATGTTTTTTCTTCTTTTTATTTTTAGTTTTCGTTTCTTTTATGTCATGCTTAATTTCTGTATGCACCTTAGTTATATTATCAGATTCGACTTCGATTGAATCAAGAGGTTCATTTTTTTCAGTTACACCTGCCTTTTCATCCTGTGATGCAGCTGTTTTCGATTTAGAAGAACGTTTCTTTTTATCTTTTTTAGAAATTTGTTTATCTTCATTTGATGTATTTTGCGTATTATCGATTTTCTTAACATCCTTTTCTATAGATTTAGAAGAACGATGTATCCTCCCTTTTCCTTCCTTTATTATGGATGTTTTGTCTTCTACTAAATTACTTTCAATTGGTTCAATATCATCTGATTTAAAGGTCCCTGTAAGGGCATCAAACCTGTTTTCAGATTTATCCCGTAGTTCCTTTATTTCAGATGTAACAAGTGTTGCCTGTGATCGGTTATCTCGAGATCGAGACCTAGATCTTCTGTGTCTGTCCACTGTGATAAATCCTTCAGAATCTATTTCTTTTTCTATTTTCTGTACTTCGTGTTCAGATTTATCTACGAAAATCATGGGTGTTTGTTTACAAGAAGGTACAGCTAGGTCACACTGTTCTTGTATTTTCTGGGTTCTTTCAGGAGATGGACGATTAACTGCCACAATTCTTGCCCAAGAATCTAAATTACTATCATTTCGAATATTTTCTGTTTTTTCTACTTCTATATCTAACGCAAGGGGTTTTCTTTCATCTTCAACAGTACTGAATTGTACTTGATTAGGCATTTGTAATACCTCTGTTTCTTGTATAACTCCAGGTATTAAAAACTTCCCTTCAGCTACAACTTCAGCATAAGATTTACCTTCTTCTGCACTTTTTAGCCATACATTCACTGGTTCTAAAATTTCTTTAGGGTCCTGCGATAATGTCGGCCGAGCTGATGCAAAACTTTGAGGACTATCTGGCCGTTTCTTGTCTTTTTTCTTTTTCTTGTTCCGTTTTGATTTAGTTTCTATTTGTTCTCCTTGCGTAGTTTCTTCAGATAATATATATGACTCAGATATTGGTACATTCGTTGTAATGATTGGAGAATCTTGGTTCTGACTTTCAATATTTTCAGTAGTCGATGGTAAAGTATCAGGAATATCGGTAGTCATCATTTCAATGTTTATTTCTGTAGTTGTTGACGTATTTAGATCCTCGATACTTTTTACAGATTTGGATATATCTGCTTGTTCTTTCTTTATATCATCATTGATTTGATTAAATGGTTTATTTTGAGATACAGTACTTTTTATGGTCTGATACATGTAAGATGGAGTAAATTCTGGAGCATCAGCCGACAAATTCGAATAAATTACAGTATTTGAATACAAAGGCTTAAACTCAGGAATGGAGTCTATTTCAGGAAGAAGATCGTGCAAACTATGTATTGGAGACTTTTCGGGTTTTTGATATATTTCAGTTTTAGAATTGCCTTCACAAATGTTAGTTTTATCTTCAGTTATATTATCATCTAAAGGTATTATATTTGGCGCTGATCGAGTAACATCTAAATTATAATCAACTGTATCACTACTTTCAGATTGCAAATCTAATACATCCGGTTTATCAATAGATATAACATTGGCTGAACTAGGGGCATGCATGATTTCAGTTTCTGTAGTATTAGCTGAGATAGATATAGGCTCCGATTTAGACTCTTCAATAATGGCTATATTGTCATGTGGTTGAAATGAAATGCCCACTAATTCCACGTTTTTTACACAAGACTCATAGGTCTCAGTTGCGTCTTCGGTGGGTATTTCTAATGAAGGCTCAGAATTTCCAAGTGTCGGAAGCGTACATATTTTTTTGTCTCCTTCAGCAACGTCTTCTGTTGCTGTTTTACCAAATACCACAGGCACAAGTGTTTTATCAATGTTATCAATTTTGAAAGAATTATCAAAATCGCACAACGTATTTTCTTGTAGTGAAATTTCAAGTAACGAAGTGTTTTCAGTTTGAGGTAATATTTTAGATGACTGATCTACCACATCAACATTTTGAAGAGTTGGATTTTGTTCAATCTCTAGTAATGTATCTATTTTGCTCTCCGTTTCGATCTTATTTTTCGGATCTCTTTGTAATGTGTTTTTTATGTTGTTATCTATTATAATTGTATCATCAGTTTCAACAGCAGTTGAGATTTGCTCTTTGATTAGTAATTTAGAATCAGTGGATATCGTTTTATTTACTTCGGTGGATAGTCCAGGTAATTGAGGTTGATCTTGAGATAAGAAACTACAATTAATTGATTTATCAGATTGGGTCTCATCTTCTAATTCATGTATTAATGCTGAATCACTACTCTTGTATATGATTGTATCAGAGGCAGTTGTAACATTATTATTTTTAGAAATGTCTGTTGTAGTAGATTGTAACGTTCCGTCGATAGTTTTTAGAACACAGGTATCATCATTAGGATTTTCATTAGAAATAGATAAGATTTCATGTTGAAGTTCGAATGGAATTTGTAGTTCTTCTTGTTTCTTTTCTTCGATGACTTCGATACTGCGTAAAGCTAATTTACTTTCAGCATCATTAATCTCATGATAACTATGACGTGGAATTTCATACACTTGTGTAGATTTCATTTCTGGTAAAATTTCTTTCTCACTCTTATCTTTTATGGTTTCATTAGTACAAGCGGGTTCAGACGATACTTTTTCATTATCAATAATATATTCGGGTTTACTGTTTTCCAACACAATGTTACATTCCGATGTTTCAGCTATAACACGGGTAAGTGCAAATCTACTCTCTGCATCACTGATTTCATGATAACTAAATTGTGGCGGTACTTCATAATCTATTTGCCCACGTTGATTTATGTCAATTTCTTCAAATATTTTGTTACCGATTTTATTTTCAGTTTCATGATCTGAGTTATCCACCTTTAGATCCCTAGTAGGCGACAATACTCTGTTAGGAGCGAGATCTTGTTGTAATATTTCTGGTTGTTGTTTGTCACTAACGGTTGGGATGAGTACTTTAGACGTGGTTTCTCCGAGGTTATTTATCTTATCATTGTGCAAACTATACCCATCAAGTTCACAACATTCTTGATTATTTTGAATTGATGCCACAGGTATTGCACTTACTTCTAAGCATATATCGTGTGCTAGTTCGTTCTTCGTTTCATTTAATTCAGTCATTTTATAACCAAAAGTAATTTCAGCGTCATTTATTTCATGATAAGTAAAACGTGGTCTTTCTTGAATTAAGACATTAGAATGAATTAATCCTTCTTCATTGTTAATTATAGGTTTAACTTGTATTATAGCTGCAACAGACAAGTTGTTTGCTACAGAATCATCCATATTGCCAATCTGTTTAGAATCACTATTAGTTGTAACATTATTATCATTTGTAATATTACAAGATTCAACTGTAGTCTCATTAGATAATAACACAGCTTCTTCAGAATATAAGTAAAGACCTGTATCTGGTTCTATACACTCAGTCAACTTTTCAATAGGCTCATCTTTTTTGTTACTTGTAGATATATCTATCATATAATCAACATTCGTTAGGATGTTGTTTTTATTTTCAGCTATATTTACTGAACTATTTCGAGATACTATATTGGCAAGAGTACATTCAGCATCTCGTAATACCTGGTAATTATGACCTGATACAGAGTCTTCAACAAGTACATTTACTTGATTTTTTAAATGTTTATTATTCAAAATGTTCTCATTTTCTTGCCCATGTGTATCTTCAGGGATAGAGGGACTCACAATTTCAGGAGAAAATATTTCTTCTGTTGTAATATGCATATTTAAATCATCCTCCTTTTCTTCTAACTTCAGTTGTTTTGTTAGCAAATAATATTGATAATCTGTTTCGTACATGTCTAAATCAAATGAATATGTTTTAATTTCATCTAATAATGCTTTATATGGTATATTGCAACATTTGTCTCTTTTTTCGTCAGTATACCTATTTCGATCTTGAACTGAACCGAAAATTACTGGTTCTAGTACACTGCTTGATTCATTTTCAGCATCTGTCTCTAATTTTTCAGCTGAATGCGTTAGTAATGTCTTTGGTAGTTGAAATACATTAGTAATCGCTTCATCACACGGAGTATCTACACTACTTTTAGATTTTATTTCAGTAATTTCCTTTTCCTCAGGCAGCAAAATAGGTAGTACAGTTTCAATTTCCGATAAATTATTATTATCGTTTTTAATTGTCTCTCTCTTGAAATCAGTTTCTGGTATCTCTTCTTTTGTATTGTCATTGATTGAAACATTTGGTTTTGTTTCAATTGCTGTATCAACAGACTTTGACGATAATTCATTTCGAATTACCTTATCATATAATAAAGAGTTTTCTTTTGTAGTACTACTTTCGGCTACATTTATATCCGAACTTGTTGTTATATTAACAGTTTTAACTACTTCTTCTAAACTACTGGAAGACTTTTCGTCAGTGATTTTGTTATTGCCTGCAATTTGTTCAGCGACTTGAATATTCTCTTCATTTGGAGTTTCCTCTAATGAGTTATTCTTACTGCTAAATACTTTAAGCGTCCTTATTGGTGGTAATTTCTTTTCTTCGTGCGTTATAAGATATATAGTACGAGTTTCTATATCCTTTTCTAACGGTTCATATCTAGTAACTTGTTCTACAATATTGATTGAACCTTCCTTTAACGTTTCTGCAGAGAAAAATTTATCATTATTGTTTTGTTCATTAATAAAACCTTGGGCACTAGAAGGTATATCTTCTTTTACAACTTCTTCTTTTGTTTCAAATGGTTTATTAGTGCTACTATCACTTTCAATCATATCTGTAGTCTGCTCTAAAGGTAAAATATTTATTTTTTCATTATCTTTATTTTCTTTTTGCAGTATATCTGACGAATATACCATGCATTTATCTTTAAGAATATTTGATTTTTCTTCCAACATAAAATCTTGAGTTTCTTGGAGTATAGTCACTTCACTTGCTACTTGACCAGTAGTAGTATCTATACTAATTTTTGAATCTGGTTGGTTTAAAATTGGTTCATATGCAGCATCTGAAATTCCTTCTTCTTCTGCCATTAATGTATTCCAATCCAATGTAATAATATTTTCTGGATTAATTTCAGTTTTTTTTGTTCGTTCATCCTTTGTACTTTCCTTATGTAGTGATGCTGTATTTTTCTCTGCTTTATTTTCAATATCGGTTTCTAGTTCCGTCTGAGGGACAACTTTCTGCTTATTAATCTTTGAATGTTTGTCTTTTACTTTTTTCTTTGATGTTTCTGCCATTTCAATTTCTTTTAATGCTCTTTCTATATCATTGTCTACTTTCTTAGCTTTTTTAGATTTAGATTTTTTCTTTTGAGACTTAATTTCTTCAGAACAATCATCGTCTTTTATATTTTTAGATGTGGCATTTTCATCGATCATACAAGTATCTTCAGCAACAGAGATTTTAGTTGAACAATCCTTTTCTACTTGCTCTATTGTATTAGAGTCTTCATCAACCAGCGGGCTCTTTATTGAAGACGGTGAAGATTCTATTATATCTAACAAAATATTTTCTACAACCTTTTCATTCTTCTTGTTTTTCTTTTTCTTTTTTTGTTTTGTAATTTGAATATCTTTATCTTCTATTGCAGAGTCGAGTATATCGGGTGATTTCGGTAATACTTTATCTTGAGTTTTTAGAGAATCCTCGATTAAATTTATGATTTTATTATCATTAATTTCTATTGGTTTTTGTTTCTCCTTTTGAGGTTTATTTTTCGTCTGTTTGATATTTGTTATTGTATCTTCTGAAATAGGCGCATTATCTTTGTAATCACATACTGTAGTTACTTCCATTGAATCCTTAGAAATATTTCCTATTATCGTAGATGATTCGATTTTACAGTCAGTGGAAACAGTAGTTACATCAACATTATCTTCTTCTGCTTTATTTTTATTTTCTTTTTGCTTTATATCAGATATGTCCTGAGATTCTGCTTCTGAATCATATTGTTTATTTCCTTTTTTCTTTTTATGCTTTGTTACTCCTTCCGATTCAGTTATTAACTGTATTTCTACGGATGGATTCGATTGAGAATGAGATGTCTCTACCATTACGAACTTAGAAGTCGTTTCTTTGATGTTATGAAGAGACTCTTTTGACTTCTTTTTCTTTTGTTTAACTGATTCTTCTATTTCTTTAAGGGCTTTTTGTATTTCGTCTTCAGGAGATTTTAATTTCTTGTGTTTGTGCTTCTTTTTCGATTTTTTATGTTCACTATCATCTGTAGTTTCATCTACCATAGGTTCTTCTACCAGAAAAGTTTCCGTTACAGTTTCTACTATTGTAGGACTGTGTTGTATTTTTTTTGTATTTTCCTTAATTCCAGATTCTGGAATACGATTTTCATCACGTGAGAAAATAGGTGATGCTTGAATTACAGCAGGTTTAATGTATTCTACGTCTTGTGTAATTTCTGGAACATCTTCAAATTCTTGAACTTCGATGACTCGCTTTGTAGTCTTTTTCTTCTTCATAATTTGTACATCATGAGCTCTAGTGGGTCGTTTTTCAGATGCACGTTTTTGTTTTGGCATATCTCTAGAACGACTTCGTTGTGGTCGTTCAAGTTTTGACCTCGATAAATCCCTGCGCTCAACTTTTGGCTCTGGTTGAACAGTAAGTGGTTTTTTTTCAATGCATTCCACTACAATGGCTTTAACTAATTCCACTTGTGCTACCTGTGGTTTTGGTAATGGCGTAACACATTGTGTCTTTGTTTGTTTACCTAAACCAAGAGCCAATATTTTTGCATATGATAAATCCTGTGCGCGATTTTGTGTTGGAGAACTTGAAGATGTTTCCTCTATTTCAAGAGACCCTAAGTCTATATTTGAATGAACCAGTACAGTTTGATCAGGTATATCTTTTTGTGCATGAATGTATGTTTCCGAAGTATTCCTTGGTTTTATTTCTACTCTAGGAGGTTCTTGGTATTGGGGAATATAATTTGGTATATTCTGAGTAATAGTTTGAGGGACATAATCATCGTAATAAATATTTACCTTGTCCCTAAATGGTCCACTTTCACTAATGTTTTCATACATATGAGACTCACTATACCCTTTACTGGGTTCGTAAACCTTATCATCTGAGGGGTTACACTGTACACATGGTTGCACGAGTACACTAATACTTTCACTTCGATACACGTTTTCATCGACTGATGGGCTTCTTCGTTCAGGTCGGCTGTACGATTCACATTGCCCTCTCTGAGCGCTGGCTTGTCTTTGTGCGCTGGGATGTCTCGATGCAATCGAGCTGGATCTCGAGCCAAAACCCTTGACTATCTCGGCATAAGTGGTTCCTCCAAGGACCCAAGCAGGACTACGTGCTCTTGGTGCTTTTTCTGGTACATCAAGGGTCGCGAGTTGCGTAAGTTGCGCGTGTGCCGGTTTCTTGCGGTCGCGGCGCTCAGGAGAGCGCGCGCGCCGGATGGCACGCGCACGGTCGGCCGTTGACACGAGCATTGACAGAGTGGCCACGGACTCGTCCGCAGCCTCGGACGATGTTGGCGGCATCACGTAGTACGGGTCCAACGCGTAGATTGACCGAGTCAGCTCTTCGATACGCCGGGTGACCTCCTGATACGCAAGTATGGACATACATAATTTACAAATGTGTTACTAGCGAACATTTTATGTTCACATGTAGGCGATGGAAGCTGAGGATTATGAAAAGAAACGACGGTGGCTGCGATGTGTTGAATATGTTTAATACTTTAAATATTTAATTGTATAATAAAGTAGGAATAGATGACTAAAGAATTGACTTAAAGCTAAGTAATGGCCGCGACGGAATTAAGTGTCCCTGAGCGGGTCCGCATCAGGACTTCCTCGTTGTACTAAAAGTTTGATTCGTTCGTTTCGCGCCTGAATCTTGCTTTGAAGGGATTTGACTCTTTCTCGACATTCCTATCAGAGGATATCAGTTGACGAGTTAGTAGCGGTGAGGATGAGGGTGGAAATAAAAAAGAAAAATAAATAAATAAAGATGAATGCATAGCCAGTGGTAATATACAGGTGGCCTACAACCGCCCTCGATAAACTCGAGGTCGATGTGGACAGCAAGATGCCGTGCCAAGCGGTGCCCGCCACCTCGCCTGCAGGTGAGCCTGCCACCGTGATAAAGGCATCCAACTGAGAGCCTCCCGAGATCGCGATAAACAAAACTAGAATATTCGCTAGCCACCTACTCGGATGGTGTCGGTGCGTGTAACTAACGTAATTATGGTGGACAATTCAAGAAAGGAACTCGAATTAAATCGAACCTTCCTCGATATTGCCCAAGACGTCCACATTTAAAAGAATCTTACCTGTTGTTGTCTCTGCGCCCTGTCGGGGTCACGAGGGCTGTAGTTGGGCTGGGTAGCGTGTCGTAGTTGCTGTTCAGCTTCGAGCAATTGAGCTCGTAACCGCGCGACATCGGCACAGTAAGCTTCTACTTGTGCTAGCGCTGCTGCCAGCTGCTGTGCTTGAGAGCCGGTCTGCGCGCCAAGCATATCCAGAGAGGCTATTAGTTCTCTCGCGGCAGCTTCTACGCCCTCTGGTCCTCTGGACTGCGCCGCCACGCCGTCAGGACCAAAGTGTACCTATTAAAGTAAACAAATTCACAATTAAATTTATTGCATACAATATTTTTGTATTAATTTTCCTGTGAACCAGACAAACTCACGTTAAGCTTTTCGACAGCGTATGAAATCTTTGTTTTTTGTGTAGAAATATCATTTATGAGTTTCTCTCTAAAAGCAAGCCGGTCTCTGAGAGGTTTCTTTGCATTTTGCGGTGTCTCTAGTGTTCTCGCTGTTGCTTCTAGCCAGTGCCCAACATCTTTCAATTTCTTCTCACATCTCTCCCACTCTTCTGCCAGTTCTTGTAATAAACCATTCTGTAAATCAAAAATTTAAAAGTTACTTAATAATCTATTTAATATTAGTTACTTTATAGTCTCCAAATGAATTCAATAAATGATGATAAACGCAATTATGACTAACAATCTTCGCCAATTTCTTTTCAACATCAACTGTTGCATTTTCCGCCGCTTCGAGCCTCGAAGGGAGATCCCCTGGACTTGTAACGCGTTCAATTGTTTCAATTTCTTTGGCCATATCAGCAAGATTCTTTGCTTGCTGCTTACAACTCTTGAGCGCATTCTAAAACAGAAGAAAACAATAATAAAATAATATATCACAAAAGATAAGACAATAAAAATTAATAACATTGAAACGTATACCCAATTCATTTCAATGTTACGTACCCCATATTCAGTCTGTTTTTGTTGCGTCTCCTGCAAGTCGGCCAATGGGAGTGGCCGCGCTAGGAAAGCACGTTGTGTTTCCACCCAAAGTAATACTTTCTCCAATAATGCGAGGAATCTAGCTACAGCATCACAGGCGTCTTCCACGGCTGCCTGTCGACCTTCCAATTCACTGCAAACAGCTGCAAACTGTTCAGAAAGCGCAGCCACTGTGGACTGAACTAATTGTCGCTCTCCAGCATCACGGCTGCCCTCGACTATAGCTCTAGCATTACGTGTCAATCGCTCAACACGATCAGCAATATTTGGCACTTCAGATCTGGTAGCCACCAGGCGTTCTCTGTACGGTTCTGGAGGTAGGGTGCGATCTCTCGCAGTCAGCTCTGCTGAACGGATCCAGGCTTGTACATCCTCAACGTCAGTTGCGTACTCCGAGCGAGCAGTGCGGGCTCGTTTCCACTCCCTTTCTTTTTCCTCCATAGCCGCGGTTAATGCTTCAGATGACAGTTCTAATGCGGACAAGTCTTGTGCTACGTCTGCAGGAGCTGAACCGCCGTAACGTTGCCTGCTTTCCTCGGTGAAGTTCTTCGTACGCTCGACTAAATCCGAAACTTCTTTGGCGAGAGCGCGCACACCCTCGGTCTCGTCTTCGCCGAATACGTAGAAAGTTTTTACTTTAGCAATAGAAACCTCTATCAGTTGTCGGAGTTCGTCAATCCTCTCCGACACACGGTCGAATTCGGACACTATTTTGTCGATCTCCGCGAGCCTCGCCGCAATAGTTTGTCGCAATCTGCAAAAGAAACACAACGTTAAAACGTACAATTCGCATCGTGTTATATACGAGTGTGAAGTTCGGAGGCACACGAGTTGGGCGCAGCTGCCAAAAGCGACGAAAATAATCTACGCGGCGCGGCGTGACGCGGCGCCCGTGACGGTGCAAGGTCGCGCCGGCGCCCGCCGCGCCGCTTCTTGTCGTCCAGCTGTAGCGATGGCGATGGTACCTCCGCACCAGTGGTGCACCAGAGTCCGAGGTATACCTAGTCGTTCGTGCTCGTTCGCTTGCGGCGCTCCGCTCGCGTCGCCCGCCCGTCGCTCAATGAACCGTTCTCGATAGATTTGGCCGACGCATCTAAATTTAAATTCCACGATCTAATGTTTGCACGGTGACATCAGAGCGCGCGAGTTTTTTCGGTGCATTCGCTAGTGTTTACGTTTTACAAGCACCGCCGACCGCTCTACAGGAGGATGACGTGATATACTCGACCTTGGGGCTCCGAACTGCCGTATACTAATATTGTCTGGCGTTTTAAATTCACAAATATAGTATTTTATATAAATCGTCTAAAAAGGAAGTATATTTAAATGATTACGCAACAAAAACTAGCAATAAATTACATCCGGCCATCTTGATAGTCATGCGGCCGGCCGGCGGGCGGAGCGCCACGGCGCCGCAGCAAGTGGGTGAAGTAAACATTTGCACAATCTTACTGAGACGCGTAGACTCCCCGTTCCGTTCGTACATCACAGAAATACGCCTAGATGTGTGAATCATCGCTAGAAATGATAGCAAGTAGGCACAATCACATTTGCATCACATAATTCATTTGTGTTATAAAAAAACTGTCCGTCGCTTGCGACGCAGGCACCTCCCAGTCTCTTTATAGCATGAAAATTCGTTTTCGAACCGTTTATCTGTCGAGTCCACTTATTTCGGGACCGGTTGGGCCGGCATTGTTTTTAGTTCGCGGCTGCGAGAAGCCACGAGTAGCGCTGTCACTTATAGTAACGTTGGTATTTCCGAGAGCGAACCGTTTGCACATTACTTAATTTTAAGGTTAAACTTTTATGAAATCTATATTTTCCAGGGGCTAAAATGGCGTATGTTCTAGTATATTTCTGTCGCCGGCTTTCAGTGCAGACTGAAAGTCCCTGACCTATAAAGACCTGAGAATCGGGCATGCGCACTGCGCTACAGAACTGTAGTCTGCCAGTTTGAATAACGATTACAGGGCCCCTGCCTCGCCGATTGTCTGGAACATGCGCCGTATAAATGTACGCCTTATTGCGTCGTAAACAAGATGTAAATTTGTACCAATGATGACGTAATATGCGACGTTCTGCCGTATTTACTAAGTTTTGATTGATTCTGTTCTAGCCTATAATTGACCAGGAGTCTGCGCCTAGGTTCTGTCAATACATTACCAAGTACAGGCAGAAAGAGCTCTAATGTAATATTATAACTAAATGTCTTCACCACTGTTATATCTAGTTGGATATATTTGAATCCAACTTGGAAAAGAAAATTAACTAATTTACCATCGCCAGAAAGAAACATACACCACTAATTAAGACACCAAAGCTTGGAAAATGGACACACATTTTTAGTGTACTTATAATTTGAATTCAATATGTTTGAGGATTAATTAAGACATAAACAATAAACCACTACGCACGCATAAATTCAGAATATTAAATCTAAACATATAATTAAAATGGGAGTGTATGTTTGTAATATTGAAATAACCGCTTTTAACTACATGTATATGTATATAAATACGATACATACACCAAAATAATATTTTTTACAATTTTTGTCTGTCTGACTGTCTGTTTGTTCCGGCTAATCTCTGAAACGGCTGGACCAATTTTGACGGGACTTTATTTGGCAGATAGCTGATGTAATAAGGTGTAATTTAGGCTACTTTTATTTTAGAAAATTAAAGTTAAATTCCACGTGGACGAAGTCGCGGGCACAGCTAGTTATTAATATATTTGATAGAATAACTAATTGTTCGACGACCTCGGTAGACGAGCGGTTTAACATACTGCCTTATTTTCAGATGGTCCTGCGATTGATTACTTGCTCAGTACAAAAACATGTATTGATCTGGCTGCTTCCTTATTATGTATGTATTTATAAAAATACACATTTAAGTATTCACATCAATTGTCTAGTGCCCATATTACACGCTCTGCTAAGCTTGGAGCTAGATGGCGTTATGTTGATTATCCAGGGTTATTATTATTTAAATAACTTACGCAATAAAAATAAGCTAGTTGTAGTAGATTGTCTTGATTATTAATCATCCATTTCGTTTGGAAAGGAAGTCAATGTAAACTCGCGAACTTTGGTTTAAAACGACCTCACAAAACTAGATTTTAATTAATATTTCCGTGTAACCTTACTATTAGGATTATGCGATTTTTCTAACTCGGTAGAAATCTCGTCGTAACTCTGTCTTAAATAGTAGTAATGAAGCTTTATTAATAGAATAGAATAGAAAATCATTTATTCAAATAAACTTACATTGAAGCACTTTTGAATAGTCATAACATTTTTTTTAATCTACCGCTCATTCGGAATGCTGTCTCATCACAAGAAGAACAAGCAAGAAACTTGTGTGTTGCTCTTTTAAATAATTTATTCTTACTTACAATTTAAGTTTAAGTGTGTAAATACAAACCACCGATTAGCGAATTCAATGAAATAATAAAATAGAAAAAACATTCAATATACAACAACTGCTTAAACAATTAATAAGAGAAAATAAGTCATAGTGATTAGAGCAGACCAGTCCACACAAGCAGCACCCATTCACGAGTATGACGGATGAGCCAGCCACCATTGCGCTCGACCATATTTTAGGGAGCCCAATGACCCGGCCCACCACGCCGCCACAAGCCTGGACATTTTGACTACTCAAAACACCAGACCACGTCAAAGCTACTCACAATTGCCATCTGATGGTTATAGTATTCACATTTCACATAAGAATGCATGCGGCAATCAATACAAAAACTGCTACGCTCTCACATTTCTAAAATAATTGAATCAAGAAAGCAATGAGACAAACAAATTATAACGTTGTATGCCAATAACTAATTATTTACTTGATATGTTGTCGTCTATGAATTCGTCCATCCTGTAATAGGGTTTCTTACACAAAAATTGTTTAATATAAGATTTGAATTGCCTCTCTGTCAGAATTAGTGCAGATTCTGGCAGTTTATAATATAATCTTACGCAATTACCATAGAATGAATTACTGACTTTGTGCAGACGGCATTTAGGTTACACGGAAATATTAATTAAAATCTAGTTTTGTGAGGTCGTTTTAAACCAAAGTTCGCGAGTTTACATTGACTTCCTTTCCAAACGAAATGGATGATTAATAATCAAGACAATCTATACATATAAATAAAATTGGAGTGTCTGTTTGTAATATTGAAATAACCGTTTTTTATTACAAGCATATGAATATAAATACGGCACATACACCAAAATATTTTTTTTTACATTTTGTCTGTCTGCTTGTTCCGGCTTATCTATGAAATGGCTGAACCGATTTGGACGGGACTTTTTTGCCAGGTAGCTAGGCGGAGTAACTTAGGCTATTTTTATTTTAGAAAAATAAAGTTTAATTCCATGTGGACGAAGTCGCGGGAACAGCTAGTCATAAATAAAACTACATCCAAGTCATCCACATAGTCAAGTCAGTTTAGCTAAATATCAAATTTATGATTATTAGGTATTACTAAATACATTAGCTATATTTAAAAATGATTAAGAACAAAAGTTGCATTGAGTATTCATTGAGTATAATATTTTTTTTTTGAAGTTATATATACATAATACATAACACATATACTATAAATACATAATTTCATCACCATCAAATCACCATCATCATTAAAAATAAAAAAAATTGGTCATCACGTGCGTAATATCAATGTCACACAGGATTAGAAATGGCATTCCATTATCATTCCAATACAGACCTTATTATCAATTACATAGGTCGCATATTTAGTACGCATATTATTAATGACATCATCGTCAAGTAAAAACGATTTTTAAGTCGATGACGATTGGACTGATGATTCAATAACTTGACTATTTTTGTCTCGCGAAATATTCTCTCGTGTACGTATACTTTTATTTAATTTTACATTTCCTAGAAATGTTTGCTAGAAACAAAATTAGGCCAAGGATACATACTATTTTATGTATACTCCATTACTTTTTTTTGTTTTCTATTCTACAATGGTGGCAAACAAGCGTATGGCTCATAAACTGGTAAACGTTTACCATAGCCTATCTAAAGTATCCTGTCTGAAACATCACCTCATATAAATTTACGTAGTTTTCAGTATGGTGTTATAAAATTAATATTGTAAAGTAGATGAGTTTCTTTGTTTATTTGAATGCACTAATCTTAGGAACTTAGTGGTTTAAATTGATTTTTTATTTTTTTTTTATACCTCATTTATCTAGGAAAGCTGTGTGGAACATTAGAGGAAGTATGAAAGTGGCGCCGGTGTCAGAGAGGTTGAAGAGTAATCGTCTATCATGGTATGGATATGTAATGCGTAGGAACGAGGATAATATTTTAAGAAAGGTGTTACATATGAATGTGGATGGTTATAAGGGCAGAGGAAGGCCGAAAAAGAGATGGATGGACTGTGTGAAAGATGATATGGTAAGAAAGGAAGTAAATAACGCGATGACTGCGAACAGGGATGAATGGAAGCGAGAAACATATTACGCCGACCACAAATAAATGGGATAAGGAAGAAGCAGATGATGATGATTACCTAGGAAAGCTAATAAAGCTATAGACTGTATAGGTATAACATCACGCTACAACTAACAGGAGCACAGTATTAATGAAAAAAGCAGACAAAGTTACGAAGCTTGCAAAGATAAACCAGTTCACAATAATATTTGAATCCGTTGTTCGATATTTAAATTCCTATTCCTTGCCTTGAAAATTGCTTTCAGCATTATTGCTAATGACACATGTATAATAAGGCGGGCTTATGCCCGCCTTATTATACATGTGTGATTTGATAGATCGTTTATGTATTTTCTTTATTGTATGTTACAAATAAACTACATATTATATATAAAATTCTCGTGTCACAGTTTTCGTTCCCATACTCCTCCGAAACGGCTTGACCGATTCTCATGAAATTTTGTGAGCGTATTGAGTAGGTCTGAGAATCGGCTAACATCTATTTTTCATCCCCCTAAATGTTAGGGGTAGTCCACCCTAAATTTTTATTTTTTATTTTAAGGCAAAACAACGTTTGCCGGGACAGCTAATATATGTATAATATTTTGAACCGCAAATAAACTTCTCTATGAGCAGTAGGCACCAAAATAAGAGAAGGCTCTCTCTTAAGTCCGCAAAATACAGTTTTATAATGTGTATATTAAGATTATAGAAATTGTAAACATTCTCAAGACCTTGTTGATTGCTCTGAGTATATTAAAAATAAATATAATATAAACTTTGTTGTATAAACATTATAAACAATGTTTTTAATTTAGTCAACAACAGGACATACATAAATTGCCAAGTCTACTGCTCGCCCTTGACCGTCCCATATGTGGTCGACCTATGTATTATGAGATCATATATTGTCAGACCCAACGACATGTCAACAACCTTAATATCAGTACATTATAGTTTTAAATGCAACGACACGCTTCCAACTTTTGGCGACTGTGAGCGAAAATCCCAACACATTTTCCGCTAGAGTAAATTCGATTGTATTTCTTAAGTAATAAAAGTTAATTTTGAAGTTTCACATGGTGTCGTCAGGCAATAAAATTGGTCAAGGCACTATATGGTCAGTATTCCGAGAAGAATTTTAATGCTTTCAATCCACATTCGTATTCTTAAACTTGCTTTTTAAAGTACCAACTAAGCAATTTAAAAAAATCAATCAAAAGAAAATACTAGTAGTTGAATTACGTAAATTGACCACAGATACAATCACAAAATAAAAAACAATTGCATAGTGTATACAAAAAAAAACTTTATAGTAATGTGTTTTGGAATTAGCGGAAATCAACAAAATAGTATAATTCCATTAACTAATGAAATAGACTTCCGCAAAATAACATATAATTCGATAAAATATAATGAATTTCGTGTTTAAAATATTTAAATCTTAAAAACTTAACGAAATACTTGTGGTGTATAATATCTAATTCTAATCTTTATTAACAATAATTTTCCTTAAGTCTGAAGAATAGTTTGGAATATATATATATATATATAAATAAACAAAATAAATAATAACAAGGCAGAAAAGTATTTTAAAGATAGTCATCCTCAGAAATCCGATTTTGATGTAGCATTTCTATTGGTTATATTTGCAATTTCACATAAAAATCACCTTAAGGAATATACTATGCAATAAAAAGAATCATTAAAGAAGTATTTGCTGTAAACTGTTACTAGTTGGTTGTTTATTTGGACGAGGTACATGTAGATTTATTGCCAATGTCAGCACAACTAGACAAGTCTAACGATACCGCATTAATTAAAGTTCACTAAATCATATTCGCTACATTACCACGCTCACCGATGATATTTGATGATTTCAAATTACCCAAAAAAAAAATTATTAGAAAAGAATCTTTACATAGTAACACAAAATCACCACCGCTGTCTGTCCGCTTATATCTTTTAAATTACGCAATGATTATAATGCAGTTTTTGGCAATAGACAGAATAATTCAAGAGCTAGGTTTATATGTACAATACATACGTGTTATAGTATAGAACAAGCCCGGAAATTAAAAGATTTGTTATGTATCCGTGCACAGAGTATAAATGTATTACTTGTAATAATTCGATGATGTTGATGATGTAAAAACAATGTAATTAGATCATTCATATTTTACGCGTAATTGCAGAGACAGTGAAAATGTTATTTATTCTAAGACCTTAGTTTCCTGTACCACAAATAAAGAATTTAAATTTGAAAATAATTTTCAATTACTACTATATATATAGACATATAGGTAGATATTGCAATTTATAAATGCGTTTGGTTTTGATAAGTTATAGATATATCAAGGCAAATTAAAATCCTAAAACACCAATATTTTTTGCAGTTGAGATGTTGTTATTGTCCACAGAATCTTTGCTATTTACAAACCATTCATCATTACAGCAACAAGTGAACGTAATATTGCAACGAATGTGAAACAAGAAACAAAATACAGAATGATACCCTCAGAAAGTTAGACGCCAACAACTAATATAAACAATTGCTAATGACAATCAAAATTAGACTTTATTGTGTTAGTAATTAAAAAACATTTGGAAAGTCGCACTAGCCGGAATTTATTTCGGTTGAAAACGTGCCTGCCGAGCGAATCCGTCTGCACGTTGATATAATGCCAAGATTTCTAGCCCGTTGCTTCCTCGATCGACTGACAGAAAGAAAAATATTCACGGTGCCCCACAATTTTAAATGAATGTTTAAAATTCTAGCGAGTTTGAAGTTTTTATGGCATTTTGCTGTATTTATGTTGGGACTAGTTTTCTGTTACTTGTATATTGCTTTGATACACGATCATACTGGTCTAAGTTCTCTTATCAGGAATATAAATGATTTACCTTGAAACGAATACTGCAATTTGTCTACGTTCATATTAGAAGCAGCATTGAAAACATCTAAATATTATAAATAAAAGATATATTTGAAACCGTTGATACATTGAATATAAAAATCATGAATATTGACGATTTCTTGAGGTAAAAATAGGAAGACATTCTTATAATAAACCTACAAGTTCTATCATTGTATTTAAAAGATGTACAAAATTTTTAAATATAAAAATTAGAAGCTAATCAAGACGCAAAAAAAATTTAAAACTTAAGTACGAAAGGTAATCACTGTTATACGGGACTTCTCTCAGTAGTACTTACTTACCATATTTTTCCTTGCAACTATTGTTCTTCTAAAGGAGTAAACGCCTCCCTGATCTGCTTCTATTTGCTGTACCCATTGTTACTACATAATACAAGCTTTAAAATTATCTATCACTTACTTTTCATAGGCTTCCACTAGGTCTTTGACGTTCGTCTCTACTTCGCCAGCGTGTTCCTTAGAATGCGGCTTCAAGAGGCTAATGACAAAGTCTGCATGTTCTAGAAGCTCGTCTCTTGTCTCTTCTAAACTTGATACTTCATTTTGCAGCTCCTGCATAGAACAATATTTTTTTATGTAAAAACTGCACACAAACTGAGGGACCACTTGATGGATAGTGACAACCGTGGCCTATAGACAAGAATAGAAGCACAGTGATTATTATTACTTCCGTGGTTCAACTAATGAGTTCAAATTCCTGAGGATTATGGTGTCATGCCTTCCTATTATTTACTTAATATTACAAGGTAAACAGTTTAATGGTTGAAATAAGTGAAACAGAAGTAGATAGAGAAGAAAATTCAGACACCTTTGCATAAAATCTATCGTTATGTTAATAAAGAAAATGTGAATAAGGAATTGAAATATGATATAATTGGATAGGTTCTCTAAAATGTACTGTTGATTTTAATTATTGAATTTTTGGTTTTCTAATAAACATATGTTTAGATATTACAATACTATAATATTATAATAGGACAATTTTGTGAGGTTGTAAGAGGTTATCTCTAGATCTACCGAACCGATTTTGAATATTCTTTCATTGTTAAATAGCCATTTATTGATGAAGGCTATAGGCTATATAACATCATGCTACGACCAATAGGAGCAGAGCTACAATGTAAAATGTAGCAAAAACGATGCAAAGGTCACAGACAAAGATGCGCGGGTTAGCTACTAAATAAATAAATAGTAATCTTACCTGTAAGGTATGCCTTGTGTCCAGCGCCTTGCGTCTGGTACTAGGATTGGCATCGAGTTGCCGTAACCTGTCAGAGGCTGCTGTGATGGCCGCTGCTAGGCTTCTTTGGACGTCCTGGAGAAGGTTCCAGCGCTGAAGTTGGTGATCAGCAGTTGCTGTTCGCTTCGCTAGACCTGTACAAACAGACAATTGATTTAATCTAAGAAATTGTTCAATAAGATGAGAGGCGAATAGTGAAAATGCGAAATGGCGAGATTTATTTGTACAGCAGTCGACTTGACGGAAAGTGATTATATATAGACATTTAGTGAGCTGAACATAGGCCATCGCAGAATCTATTTAACACTCATAATCCTAATGATCTACTATATTACCTATTAAATTATGATGCTTAAAAGATAACTTCTCAGGAAAGACAACGCAGGAGAGTATTATGTGATAACCGTGACACTGTTTCTATAAATAATACACTTTCCATCAAATTTGCTATCATTTTGTTTGTCATACGAAATTACTTAGTCATTTTACGCGTTCAAGGCACAGCTACATCAAGCAAATAAAGACGGAATTGGAGTAATGACGTATCAACGTTTAAACAATATGTGAAAGTGGCAAGAGCTCCACCGACAAGAGCGTTGTTCACAAACTATGAATGAATCTCATCGTTAAATAGCAAAGCATTAAGCGATCTGATTGTTGGTAGAAGTAGATCAGTATTTCTGTTAAACAACTAACCTTCACAGGCGACGTTCCATCTGTCAGTGAGTTCTCTGATCCTCTGTTCCACACGCTCTCCACTGGCTGCATCAGCGCCGCTGCACAGCTCTCGGCCCCGCTCCCGAACGACGTCCAGGAGCGGCTGTTGGTTCTATAAGGACGATAACATCAAATATAGCTTTTAGTACTTTACTTTTAGATCGACATTCGGTTGTCTAAATTCCTAGATCCTTACTAAAATATTATAAACTAGCTGTGCTCGCGGTTTCACCACCATGAAATTTATAGCCTATATGTAAAAAATAATAATAATAATAACAGGACAATTCACACAGCGCCATCTAGTCCCAAGTTAAGCTAGCTGAAGCTTGTGTTATAGGTACTAGATTACTGATACATATACATAGATATTTTTTTCGTAAATACATACATAATATACATAGAAAATACCCAGACCGATACAAACAATCATACTCGTGAATACAAATGTTTATGCCGTGCGAGGAATCGAACCCGCGACCATTGGACGTAAAGCGGTGTGCTAGACCGCTAGACCACCGAGGTCGTCATTCTGATGTAGTTATTCTGATGTATAAGCTATATTACTGTAAAGATTCATCAAAATCTAATTGGATGAAAAGGGTGACGACGCTCCAAAAAAAAGATGGATGCATTGCGGGAAAGATGATATTAATAAAAGGAGAGTATGTTCAGATATGACGGCCGATAGAGATCAGTGGAAGAAAATGACATATTGCCACTTCAAAATCCATTCAGTAGTTTTTGCGTGAAAGACTAACAAACATCCATCTATACTCACAAATTTTCGTATTAATAATATTAAGAAGATGAGGAAGTAGCTATGGGTGTCTGTCTGTCGCGCTTCCACGACATAACTACTGACTTTGGTACACAAGTAGTCTAATACTTGAAGTAACCGAACCGACATGTATGTAGGATTAAAATGTTTTGTACAGTATTGTAAAGTATATTGTATTGAATTGTATTGTATTGACTATGCAATACTGTTTAACAACTTGCATTAATTTATTATTTTGGTTTAATATTCTACATATTTTTAAAAATAATATATAGATTTGTCCATTTGATGTTTATTTTTACTGTCCTGTTTCCCATGACATGTAGTTGTGCATATTAAATTGAATCATATTAACCCTGACATTGAGTGCAAACCTTGTGTTTTACTATAAGGGTAGTTTTTAATATTAATACAAGCATTGCTTATATAAATATTAATAAATATTAACTACTATATATATAAAGTCCTCTCGGAAACAACTTATCAAGACCTACATCTGGAGTATAGCCTTGTATGCCTGTGAGACATGGACATTGACACAAAAGGAAAGAGACAAACTGGAAGCCTTTGAAATGTGGTGTTGGAGAAGAATGGAAAGAATTAGCTGGAAAGATAAAATAAGGAATGAAGAAGTGCTTGAGAGGATTAAAGAAAAGAGACAGATCATAGATATTATTGAGAATAGGCGGGGAAAAATGTTGGGGCACTTGATACGACACGACGAACTAATTAACAACATTATAGAAGGAAAAATAGATGGAAAGAGAGGAAGGGGAAGACCAAGACACAGCTATATCAAGCAAGTTAAAGAAAAAGTTGGAGTCGTGTCGTATCAACAGCTAAAGGGACTGATAGAAGATCGTGGAAGGTGGCGGGAGCTCCACCGACAAGAGCACAGCTCTTAAATTATGAATGAATGAATATATTGTGGAATGAACCTCCTGCCGAGGTTTTCCCACGAGACTACAGCATGGGGTTTTTCAAGAAGGGTATATTAAGGTTTCTTAAGGGTCGGCAACGCGCAAGTGATACCCCTGGTATTTCAGGGGTTCATAGGCTACGGTAACCGTTTACCATCAGATGGGCCGTATGCTTGATTGCCACCATCTTAGTATAAAAATATATATATATAGAGAATGCTATCAGGCATTAAGTTCGCCATGTATACAATTTTGTGTGCAAAAGAATAAATAAATAAATATATATCTTAAATTTTTATCCTTCTACCCCTATTTTTTAATAGCAATATTTATTTACATATATGGCAAAACAACGTTTGCCGGGACAGCTAGTCTTATATATAAAATTCTCGTGTCATAATGTTAATTACCATACTCCTCTGAAAAGGCTAGATCGATTTTTATGAAATTTTATATGCATAGTTAGTAGGTCTGAGAATCGGCTACTATCTATTTTTCATACCCCTAAGTTATAAAGGTTGTCCTTATTTTTTTATTACTATACCCCTAACACTATTTTTTTATTTTTGGGGCAAAATTTTTTATTTTTTATTTAAAAATACAAAACCCCTAAATTTTCACCCTTCTATCACCAAGCCCTATTTTTTAATAGCAATATTTATATGGCAATATAACTTTTGCCGGGACAGCTAGTAAAAAAAATAGTTGTTGAACTTACGGATTCTGTTTATCACAGATAACATAATCTTATATATAAAATTCTCGTGTCACAGTTTTCGTTCCCATACTCCTCCGAAACGGCTTGACCGACTCTCATGAAATTTTGTGAGCGTATTGAGTAGGTCTGAGAATCGGGCAACATCTATTTTTCATCGCCATAAATGTTAGGGGTAGTCCAACCCAAAATTTTTTTTTTATACAAAATTTTAGTGTCTATTTTTTTATGATACAACATACAAAAATACATACAATCCTAAATTTTCACCCTTCTATCATCAACCCTTATTTTTTTATAGCGTTATTAATTTATATGGCAAAACAACGTTTGCCGGGACAGCTAGTATTACACAATAATATACATATAACTACAATGTGTTTACAAGCCGCAGATAAACAACTTAAGAAGTCGTCAATTCATCTTCGGAGTCTGTCAAGGTCATTCAGATAATTACATCACAGTCTAACTCGCCATTATCTCCAAATGCGCAATCTATGCGGGGAGCACACGAATATATAAATATGTATGGGAATGCAAGTTTTACAAAAAATAAAATTAAATCTATTGTCACATTATAAAACTGAAGAGTTTGTTTTTAGAACGCGGTAATCTCAGGAACTACTAGATAAATTCGTGTTGGGGCACACGAATCTATAAATATGTATGGGTATTAAATATTCTATAGATTCTATATTAATTTTAATAAAATTATAGTATATATCCGAATCTCGTGATGGCGCCCCCTTCGACGAGGCGCCCCCTTCGACGAGGCGCCCCCTTCGACGAGGCGCCCACATGCTCCGCATGATATGCATCCCCGTTTTCCGCCGGCCCTGCCCTTTTGTATACATATAAAGAAACAAAAACCTTTATTATCTGGAACAATATTCAATTTATATTCTGTGTATTATAAAATTCTTATAAATGACTCTAAGAATAGTCCTGTTTGTCTGTTTGTAAACATTCTGTTCATTGAGACACAATGAGTTTCATGTATGTATATAGACCTTGTCCTTGTTCGTAACAAGTGATGTTCTGGGAACTTTATATATACATATATATATATATTATTGTTTATTATTAAGAATAGTCCTGTTTGCCTGTATGTAATCATTGTCTGTATAGAGACAATTCGTTCTATACATTGATAACATGATCGCATTTCTAATCTATACATCTATACCTATAAATAAAATTGGTGTGTCAGTTTGTAATATTAAAATAAGCGTTTTTTATTACATGCATATGAATATAAATACGGTACATACACCAAAATAACATTTTTTACAATTTTTGTCTGTCTGTATGTTTTTTCCGGCTAATCTCTGATCGATTTTGACAGGACTTTTTTTGGCAGGTAGCTGATGTAACTATTGAAACCAAATTATTTATTATTTATTTTATTGTTTGAAGATATTATTACATTAGTTTTACTATTACTATTTTCTTTATTAAAAAAAGTCTACAACATTTAAAAAGGGTATATGGGACTTAAGATTTATAATAGTACTGTTTGTCTGTATTATTGCCTATATGGAGTTACAATGAGTTATATATGAGGACTTGACCTTGTCAATTATCTTTGCAGTGCAGCAGTGACACACCAGTTAGGAAGTTGCGTTGATGACATGAATACCAATTATAATTTTTGTAGCATAGGAGACAAACGAACTTGCGGCTCGCCTGATGGCACATCTGTAAGTGTGTGCCCATGAGCAGCCGCAATACCAGAGGAACTGCAAGTGCTTTAGCGGCCTTTTAAGAAGGAATAAATAGTTTTCTTTTTAAATAAATAAAACTTTTAGTTTTAATATCGTATCGGTTTGGATATATTTTACCATACTACGTCGATCCCAATTGAATGGGATAAGGAAGAAGCAGGTGATTTTTAACTAGCTGTTGAATTGTTGGCGCGTGGAATTTAAATTTATTTTTCTAAAATAGAAGAATTTTTCTAAAATTAAAGTAGCCTAAGTTACTCCTTATTACATCAGCTACCTGCCAAAAAAACACCCGTCAAAATCGGTCCAGCCATTTCAAAGATTAACCGGAACAGACCGACCGACAGACAGTCAAAAATTGTAAAAAATGTTATTTTGGTGTATGTAACCTATATATAATCATATGCATGTAGTAAAAAACGGCTATTTCAATATTACAAACAGACACTGCAATTTTATTTATATGTATAGATGTATAGATTACGGAAAATATCTATATACTTCCTAAGAGAATGTTTGATAATTTTATATTGCAAATAGCAGCAAGACCTTAACTGCATAGTACTGTTTACAATGTTATCAGCGTTATAGCAGTGGCACTCAATGAGGAAGTAGCCATTATTATTGCTAAAAGTTGCATATAGATGGCGTGATTGGTATCGATGGAATTCTTCATAGTTTTGCAAACGTTTTAAAAAACAAAACTGTGTTTTCAAAAATGTTTAATCAATTTTTAAAAAGTTATATATACATGTTAAAATGAAATAATGCGTTTAGAAAAGTAATTTTCATATATTTACTCATTTTGTTATTTTCCAGTACTTAATTACACTTTAATCAGTGCTAATATGGGGCTCAATGTTTTCAAAATGCTTTCATAGATGGCATTGTCGTCATTTGTATCGGCCTAATTAAATGTCTTTTTTATATTTTCCAATAATAAGCACTTAATATATTATTATTGTAAATTAA